TGGGGGCCAAGCCTTGAAACACATGAGCTTGTAGGGGACGTTCCACATCCAAACCATAATACTTATGGGGAAGTTTAACAACAGGGACCCAAGATAAATAATAATCCTTTGCCTGTGCCAGTGCATAGTTTAACATGTATTTTTAAAAATATTTTCTCACCTAACTCCCAGCTACCCTATAGGGCAGGTAAAGGAATCCCCCCTCCCCCAATTTTAAAGTGGAGGTTAAGTTGCTCTTTCCATCTCACACAGCTTATGGGTAGCAGAGCCAGATAGGAACTCAGGTTCTCTGATCCCATCCTCAGCGCTGTCTGCCATGGCTGCCTCCTTGACCATCCCTACTGTCTGGGGAAACACATGCACATAAAAGTGCAGGGCTGGGATGACCAGGTCTTTAGTGAGTGTAAGTGAAGGAGAAATTAAGAGGAGGGTAATTACCTTCTTCCTGTCCACTCCTCAGTCCTAAGAGCAAGTTAGCTTCTTATTGTACCATGTTTCTTTAAATGCAATATGGCTTTGTTGGTGCTAATCTAAAGGGAATGATGTTCCATAAATAGCTGTGGCTTTCTTTTTCTTTGTATGCCTCATTCCATCTTTCTCTATGTTTTCCATCCTGTTCCTCTTGTTCCGTTGTCGTGAGGCCACTCTCTGGGTCTGTCTATACCTCTGTGTCTCTGTGACTCAGGGTGGATCTTGGTCCTTTTATTCCCTAGAACTACATCTGTTTTGGTCCTTTCATTGGATCATCTTCCTGTGTTGTAGTTTTCTCGAGTCTCTTCCTATCACTTCATTTCTCTTTTGTCCTCTTTCCTACTCTGTTTCTGCTTAAACTGTCCCTAATGCAGAAATGAAGTATGGCCCTAAAAACGTTTTATTTCAGAATAGGGTTTCATTTTCTCTGTTAGGAGTTTTTAAGTAGATGAATGGTTAGAGACTTCCAATTCTCCAGAGCTCAACGTGAAAATGTTTTGTGTGTGAACCTTGGTTGTTTTCCTTGTAGAAGCTTTTTTTTTTTTTTTTGGCGTGGGGAAACAGTGTCTTTAATCAAGGGGAGTAACCACATATCATATTTTATGCTATTCACTTGAGAATTCTCAAGTACTTCACGAGTAATAAATACAGTATTTTCAGTTTAAGGCTGGGGAAACCAGGGAGCAATCATGTGGCGAGTCCCTGAATCCTGTCCCCTAATGATGTCCAAAGTAGGGCCTAGAGTAATGGGACCAAAAAGTAAGACCACTTTTCTCAGAAAAAGTTCCTCTCAGAAGAGTCCCTTCATAGCCCTCCCAAATTGGGAGCCTTACAAATTCCCTGTTCAAGAAGTGAGACTCTGAATTTGGTAAATGAGTTTTAACTTGGTAGCTAGTTGCCCAATTTTCACTCTTGAAATCCACACAAGCAACAAAATGACAAACTCCTTAAATCTCAACACTATGACATGAAGTAGTGAAATTACCCTAGAACATGAATCAGGAGGCCCAGGTTCTAATTTGTGCCTTGTCACTCCATGGGGTGCCACCTAGGGTTTTTCAACTGCAAAGTGAAGCTAATATGTTCAGCCTACCTTGCAGAGTTACTTTGAGAACTGAGATAAGTGCTTTGAAAAATGATAAAGTTACGTATAAATGTAAAATAGTGCTAATAGCAGCATCAGAGCCAGTACACTCCACCCAACACATTTATATTTGGAAGTAAACAACTAAGAATAGCGGCCATTAACCCAAAGCTATATTGTGAAAGATTATCACTCTCTCTTTGCTTATCAGATTTGAAGGCACATTGACCTAGAAGGCAGAAAGTACTGACTTCAAATCCCAACTCTGCCACCAACAATGTAACCTGCAATAATTTTTTAATTGCTCTAGTTTGAATCTCATTTCTCTCTCTCTCTCTGAGTGAAGATAACAGATTTGTTGTGAGGATTTAATGATCTAATACAAGACAAGTGTTTGATGCTAGTGTCTAGCATATAGTAAGTTGTCAATAAACATTAGGTTTAAAAAGGATCATTTACTGAATCCTAGAAAGGATTCAGACCTAACTTATGATACAAAATGCAAAGACATAACTCTTTGTTTCAAAAAGCTAAATTTGGCTGAGTGTGGTTGTGTACACCTGTAGTTCCAGCACTAGAGAGGCTGAGGCAAAAGAATAGTTTCAGGTCAGCCTGGGCTACATAGCAAGACTCTGTCTCAAGAAAAAAAAAAAAGCTAACTTTGAGGGGAAAACATACATATGAATAAGAAGCAGATGCTTACTACTCAAATGCAATGGCAGATTAGCAAATTAATTTATAAATCTGCCTAGAGATATGGAAACCTTCTTGGAGGAGGAAACATTTGACACAAGACTTTTATAGGGGTCTGGGGACATAGCTCAGTGGTGGAGTGCATGACTAATATGTGTAAGGCCCTAGGTTGGATACCTAGCATGGAAAAAAAAAAATCTTTTGAAGGATATGTAGAAGTTTTTGTTTGTTCATTTGATGGAACTGGAGTTTGAACTCAGGGGTTTATACTTGCAAAACAGGTGCTCTACCACCTGATCCACACCTCCAGTCCATTTTGCTCTGCTTATTTTGGAGTTGGGGGTCTCCCAAACTATTTGCCTAGGCTGGCCTTGAACTGTGATCCCCCTGATCCCATCCTCCCAAGTAGTTAAGATTACAGTCTAAGCCACCGGCATCAGGCCTTTTTTTTTTTTTTTGCCTTGATACTGTAACAAAACAAAACAAAAACAAAAGCAAAAACATAATAAAGCCTTAATGCCCCCACTGCCCCCTAGAAATTGGTGCTTTTGATTCGGCTATATCATTTGCCCACAGGGATTTGATTACTTGAAAAGCCACGGTTCAAGTCTATACTTGTTGGCTTTACGGTGAGTCAGCTTATACATTCTGGTGACTTCATTAGCATGGTGTTGGAAACTGATCTCACTTGCTAGTTCTATACATGAAACATCTGCTGTTTTGTTTCCATTTCATAAAGACACCTTGAGAGCTGTACAAACAGGTTCTATGTGCAGGATGGATTGGTTCCATCACTTGAAATTGTTAGCATATGTGTTGCGTGCTGCCAATCTCTCAGGGTTTTGGAAGGCAGGGAAGACTAGTAACCACTTGTCACTCTCTGGAAAATAGGAAATAGGAAATAGGAAGTGGAGTGCAGAAAGATGTGGGTTTTTTGGAAAGAATGGAAAGTTTACAGATAGCTAGCTATTCTTTGTCCACATACAAATGTGAAAATACAGAAAGCCTCCTATTTACCAGAGACCTTGATGCCAAGATGAAGTGGCTTCCTCATTTCACCAAATATGTAAGCTGTGAATATGGGAGTTAGAGACGTCCTAAGCTGATGAAATGTCAGGGTTCTTTGGGTTTTCTGCTATCTTAATGTTGACTAAATCCCTTCATACATGTGTTAACATGTATGAAGATGTTTTCACCTAAAAGGCTAATTAATAATAACGTTAATAATAAAGGAAGATTATCTGTTAAACTTGAGAAACGTCAGACTCAATAGTTAAACACAAATTGAAACAATCAAAAGCTGTGTTCACTCTATATATCTCTGTATCGGTAGCTGCATTTATTTATTGATTGATTGATTGATTGATTGGTACTGGGGTTTGAACTCAGGGCCTACACCTTGAGCCACTCCACTACTTTTTTTTGTGACTGATATTTTCGAAATAGAGTCCCCCGAACTATTTCTCTGGGGCTGGCTTCAAACCCTGATGAAGGTCAAATACACCTGACTAGGCCTAGTACAATCAAAAGGTATCATGACCATCTGCTTTTTTTTTTTTTTTTTTTTAAATAGCGGTCATAGATTGAATTTCGAGCTGTAAGAGCTTTGAAGCGCTTGTAATTCAGCCACCTCCTCAATCCACAATTGAGGAAACGTGGCCCAGAGAGCCCGGCTTTCCATACAAAGCCTTTGAATGGAACTTTGGTCAGCAATTTGTATGCCGGTTATTTGAAGAGACCCACGGTACCTTTTGATTGTACTAGGCATAAGTGAAGTGTATTTGGCCTCCACATTTGTTAGGTGGAAGATATAGACCAAAGTAAAATGTCTGTCCCGAGAGCAGAGAAGCCAGTAACAGTGGAATTATTGTACTGGCCCGTGTGATTGATGCTAAGTGAGAATGAGGCAGATTCCAATCCATGCAAGTTTAGGGAATCTGGCCAGAGAACTTTTAAATAAGGACACGCAGTCAACAACAAGTTACCAAGACTCTCAGGAACTCCGAAGGCAAAGCCAAGTGGCAGTAAGGACACAGTACCGACAGGATCCGCTGGATTCATGCTTTCTGGGCGATCCCCTCTGGAGACATCTTTGACGTGCAGAAAGCCACTTCTTTAGGACTCCCATTTAGCTGCAATAGTGCTAGGTAGAAGAGGCCAGGCGGGCAGATGGCCACAAGCCCACCTGTCCAAGACTTTCGTGCCCGGTGAGGGACGCCCACCGCACGGCTGGCACTCAGAAGGCACTTCTTGGAGTTGGGAGGTCCCAGCGGAGCGCACGATCCTGCCCCGCTTTCTCTGCCCGGGCCCCAGCAGCCCCCTTCGCCCGGAGCTTGGGAGGACCTCAGGTCCGCGGAGAGGCGGCGGCGTCCGCGGTGACGGAATAGAAGCCCCGGGAGCCTCGGCCCTTCCCGCCACCGCGTCGGCCCCGCGGCCACTCGCGTGCCGCTTGTCCACGGCGCAGCGTCCACAGACTAGAACACCGCCGGGGACAACTGCCGGCCACCGCCCACCGTCGGCCGCCCGGCCGGGGGAACCCGGGGAAACCTCAGGGCCCAGGGGCGGCAGCGGCGAGACCCCGCCCCGCCCGGCCGGCCCGCGCCTATCGCGGCCGCCGCGCCTGGTCACGCGGAGGGCCTTGCTGCGGGCTGGCGGCCAGCGCCCAGTGCCCAGCGGCTGCCCGAGTCGCGGCGGGCCGGGGCGGGGGCGGAGGGTGGAGGTTAGAAATAGGGACGGGCGGGCCGCGCCAGTCGCCGTGCTGCGCGGAGCCGACCTGAGCCACGCCGAGCGGCGCCGAGCGAGGCGGCCGGACCCGCAGCACCCATGCTGCTGACGCTGGCCTGGGGCTCGCTCTTCTTCCCGGGGCTCTTCGCGCTTAGCACCTGGGCGCTGCGCCGCTCGCGGCCCGAATGGACCTATGCCGACTGCGTGATGATCAGTACCAGGTACAGGGTGCGGCCAGCCCGCCAGCCCAGGGCCGGGGAGCTGCCCTCCCCACCGGCCGCGCGCGGCTGCTCGGCGCCGGGGCCTGCGCTAGGCTGAGGGCGGAAAAGGGGGGCGACAGGAAACGAGGGGGCTGCCTCCCTCGCTTCCCTGCCCCTCTCGTCGCGCTGGCCAGAGCTTTGCGAAGACCCTTTGAGCGCAGGGAGAGGGGACACGGGTGGAGGGCCGTGCAGGAGAGTCGGGATGGGGCAGGAAGGGCGTGTGCATCTCCCCCAGCCTGCTGCCCACATCTGCCAGCTGCTTTGGGGTTCGGGGCGCGGCGGCTGTCCTGCCATTTTCCTCTGCCGGGAGAAAAGTCAGGTTGAAGTTCGGCTTTGTGCTGTCCGCAGTTCTGGATTAAGCGCGCTTTATTTCATTTCTCTGCCGCGGTAGGGTGGTTTCTTCAGTGCAGGCTGTGCTGGCCACCGGCTCAGGGATCGTCATCATTCGCTCCTGCAGCAACGTGGTCTCAGACAGGTAATATCCCATTCCAAGTGGACGAAGTGCAAATAGTAGGGCTGAGCAGTTTTTGTGAAGGTTTCACATTTTAGTGGCTCCCAGGTACTAGTTCTTTATCATACTTTTAGGTAGATGACTGACCAGCGGAAAAACTTGGGCACCCTCATTAGTGCCTTCCTGTTCTCCTCTCTTCTTTTAGCATCCCCAGTTGAGGAGCGAGGAAACTGAAGGGTAAGTGCAGACGTGCTGGATAGCAGGAGTCTGAGGCTGACTTAGGTGACCTGTTAGAGGACATTGTGGCTGTTGACTCAAGTTCTTCACAAGTGTGAAAACTATTTACAAGCAGGAGTTTGGCTTTTGGTTCTTTTAGTTATCTCACTGGGTTCTCATTATTGGAGATATGTACTGTTAGTGGTGCTCTCCTATTGGCAGGAGCCAGTCCACCCCCGCTTCCCTGCAGGTAGATGCTCCTCTTGTGTTTCCTTTGGCTTTGCTAAAGGTAATGAGGTTTCTGGTGCCTTCAGAAGTCTGACTTGTGCATTTTGTAGAAGTCATTCCCAAAGCAGGTCAGGAAATGTGCATCTATCTGCAACTTCAGTGAGACAAATCCTAAATTAAGACTAGAGTGGTCTATTTTGTTTAGTAGTTACACCTGGGAAGTGGTGACACTTTTTTTAATCCATTTTTTTCACCTGTCATCTTAGAACCACTCTTACTTTCTCACAGCTAAGTTGAAGGGTGATGATCAGATTTGCAGAGAAAGCTGCATAGTCTTTCCAGATTCTTCTCTCACATCCACTCTACTAATGTCCTCCTCCTCATCTGTTGAGACAGGAAATTGTGGGGCACCTGTAGGATGCCTGTCTGTGACCTGCAATTTTAATTGGTTTCATCCAGCTGTCACAATTTTCATGCTTTTCTTCCTATGCCTCTTTAAGCAAAACCACTTCTTGGCAATGAATTGCAGATGCTTAAGAAAGGATAGGCCAAATGACCTTGATTGCATATACCAAAGGCTAACAGCATTTGCATGGCTGAGTTTAATTTTGTTTATTATTTATTTATTTATTTATTTATTTTTATTGGAGGGACTGGGGTTTGAACTCAGGACTTGCAAAGCAGGTGCTCTTCCACTTGAGCCACACCTGTAGCCTATTTATTATTTTTACAGTATTAAGAATTGAACTCAGGGTCTTGCACTTGCTCTGCCACTTGAGCGACACCCCCCAGTCCCAATTTTTATTTTGAGCATTTTCTGATCATGCAGCAAGCTCCCTCACTGCCCACAGTGTGTCAGGTAAAACTAGAAACCAGCCTTCTTTGCAAAGACAAAGCTGAGACAAACGTGGTCTCATATTTGAGTTAATGAAGGTGAGCACTGAGCAAGTGCTGTGCATTTCAGATGTTCTCACATGATTAACTTACAGTTCCATGCTGCCGTGGTTGTGTTTCCCTCAGAACCCCTGCATTTTAGTGGCTTGAGCAGGGTAGCAGACCTGTGTTTGGTTTTCAGAGTCCTCCCTTCATGTGTCTTTATGCCTCAGATTCTCTGTTTGGAAAACAGATAGACATCACATTTTTTGTTCCCTCCATCTCTACATGGGTGCACAAGTTTATATGAAGGGCACCTAGATTGTCTTTTCCAAAGGCTTTCAGGACTCACAGATTGCACACCAAAATATTTTTCTATTATATGTCTTCTATTTATGCTTCATAAAGAATGTGTATACACAGGAGGAGGTACCTATAAAATTCCCCAAAATTTACACTGCAGTGCTATAGGGTCAAGGCTTTCATCAGATTTTTTTCTTTTTTTTCAGTACTGTAGCTTGAATTCAGGGTCTACACCTTGAGCCACACCACCAGCCCTTTTTTTGTGTGTGTGTTGGGTATTTTCGAGATAGGGTCTCTTGAACTATTTGCCTGGACTAGCTTCGAACCATGATCCTCCTGATCTCTGCCTCCTGAGTAACTAGGATTACAGGTGTGAGAAACCAGTGCCCACTTCATCAGATTCTTACAGGGTTCCAGACCCCTAAAAGGCCTACGTCATAGTTCTAGGCAGTTTTCTCAATTGGAACATTTACATCTGGATAGTACTTTTCGTATTTAAAAGAACTTCCATACTTTAAGTTTTTTAAATTCTCACATTGACTCTGCCAGGGAAGACAAGGACTGTCATCTTCATGAAAGTCAAATCACAGGCCACTGGTAGTTAAGATGATAATCTAGATCTCTTGCTAATAAATATTCCAGGAGTACTCCCTAAGAGTCACCAATTTCAAACCTTATTGAATTGGTACTGGTACAAAATATTAAAACCCTATGTTCCACTAAAGGAGAGAAAAACACTTAGATTTCAGCCAATCTTTATAGTTATTTGGAATTGCTTCAAGAAGGCAAATGAGACCATAGCTGGGCATCTGTTTATTCAAATGGAGCCTGACTAATTAATTCACCTGCAAGTGTATTATATGTGCCATAGCTACTTATTTGCCTCTATGTCACTTTATTCCTTATTTAGTTATTCCGTAGTAAGTGTGAGTCGTTCAGGAACAGAAACTCACGTGGCACCCTCGGAATATTCCCAGTTCAGTGGACTGGCACCTTAGGAAATCACCCGAGTCAAGATTAAAAGTAGAGATTTGAGGCCCTACATGTACAATTTAGAATTTCTGGGAAGTGATTCTGATAGTCAGGTAGTTTGAGAACCATACAATCCCTTTCCTCTACCTAATGGACACTCAATAAAAATGTGCTCAGTGACTCTAAATCCTTCCCAGCATACTATATGATTTCAATGTAGATGTTTCCTTCATAAAGCTTCTATAAAAATGCTTGTTTATCATTTGAGGAGAACATTACAGATCTTTTTCCTTCTAATCTACTCTAGGACAGAAATAAATGATTATTTTGACTCAGCACATATTGGTTCAATCCCATTGAACAAGTAAATGAGGTCCTGGACTCTTGTCTGGGCCCCTATTCTTTTGTGTGTGTGTGTGTGTGTGGTACTGGGGCTTGAACTCAAGACCTTTACCTTGAGCCACTCCACCAGCCCTATTTTTGTGAAGGGTTTTTTCGAGATAGGGTCTCGGGAACTATTTTCCCGGGCTGGTTTCGAACCTTGGTCCTCCTGATCTCTGCCTCCTTTGTAGCTAGGATTACAGGCCTGAGGCACCAATGCCCACCAGCCCCTATTCTTGTGTTTAATTGCTGTAATGTGGTCCTTGAACTCCAAGCTCATTCCCAGACATACCTTTGTTAACAGATAGAACTGTGTGGGAGCTGGGTGCAGTGACGTGCGCCTGTCCTCCCAAGTTATGTGGGAGATTCTGATCAGGAAGATCACAGTTCCAGGCCAGCCCAAGCAAAAGTTTGTAAGACCCCATCTCAATGGATAAAAGCCAGGCATGATGGTGCATGCCTGTTATCCCAGCCATGGCAGAAAGTGCAAAATAGGAGGATGGAAGTCCAGGCTGGCCTGGGCAAAAAGTGAGAGCCTATCTCAAAAATAACCAGAGGAAAAAGGACTGGCGGTATGGCTCAAGCAGTATAGTGCCTGCCCAGCAAGGTGCAAAGTCCTGAGTTAAAACCCCAGTGCTACAAAAAGAAAAATTATTAGCTATAGTACAGTTTCTGCTGCTTCCCAGAAACTGTGCTTAAAATGGGATTTCATTACAGATATAGGAGAAAGCACGTAGATTCAGGAGTTTCAGTTGTAAACTCCCAACTGTTGAGCAACTGAGGAGCTGAACTGGAATTATGGGATTTGTGATTTGGAACACCTTCTAACAACTTTCTTGGTGGAGCTGTTGAATCATTTGTAAATTTATCTCTATCAAAGTCAACTTACATCAAACAGTGCTGGAAATCTATTATAGATAAGGAAGCTCCTTAAACAATGGGGCAGAGTGAATTCCTGCTTTTTGCCTTGAACATTCATGAATTTGCCTTGTAATTTAGAGAAAGTTGTTCACTGTCTGTATTTCTCAGTCTCAGCATCTTCAATGTAAAAACATTTGAGGGTAAAAACTGCTGGTTAAGTACAAAGCCGAAGGGAACACGTTTGAGAAGGGTTTGGCTTCGTAACTGACAACCATAATTATTTCATAGACCATTTCTATGCTTTCAGGCACTGGCTCGCCCGAGAATATGTCTGGTTTTTGATTCCGTACATGATCTATGACTCCTGCGCCATGTACCTCTGTGACTGGTGCCGAACCAAAGACCAGAACCTCAGACGTACCCTCACTTTTCGAAACTTCCTGAGTCAAAACCGCCTCATGATCACGCACCATATGGTCATTTTGTTTGTCCTTGTACCAGTTGCACAGGTATGGCCCTGCAGGACAGCAGTCTTGGTCACTCATTTTCTCCTGTAGAATTGGGTGTTTGGTTCTTTCTTTAGGAGTCAGGAGTCCCTCTTTTCCTCTGCTCTTCTACCATGCTTCAGCAGGTCAATTCCATGTGCGAATAGCGGAGGAAAATCATCAAATCTGAGATGTTCACGACACTTCGTACAACATTCTTTTTAGCAGTCCCCCAGCCTTCTGTAATTTCTTTGCATTTGTCAGAGGTTGTAACTTTAGTTCAATATAATATTAGTTCAATAAAATATAATATGAAACAATGTAACAGTGCCAGAGAGTAATTTTGTAAGAGAGAAAGACAGTCTATAGCCTAATGATTTCTTTCCAGATCCATTTTCCTTTAAAAACCTATGAACAAGGAAGAGACATGAGAATACAGAGAGGAAGCTCATAATTCCTGAGTGCCTGCCAGGCACTTGATTTAAAAGCTCATAGCTTGCTAAATGAAATTATTGGCTCTATGCCATAGATGAAGAAACAGGGGCTCAAAGATCTTACTGATCTTTCAGTGATACTCAGTGACAGAACAGGTGTCCTGCTATGCCAGATAGCTTTTATTTGCGGGGCAGGGTGGCGGGGGGAGGGAGGCAGTACTGGAGTTTGAACTCAGGGCTTCACGCTTGCTAGGCAGGCACTTTACCACTTGAGCCACTCTGCCAGCCCCAGATTGCTTTCTTGAAAAGAAAAAAAGGTGAGGTAGAATGCATCCAGTTCTTAAAGGAGTCTTTCTTGATTGCTTTGGGGCTCTACCATCTAGTACATACTTTTTTGAGCTGAACAGATTCAGGGCCTTTGGCAGGACTAAGTTAAGATACACACAAAAGTAGAGTTCCTTCCAGCTGTCATTGAAATTCAGTGAAAGCTTGGTGTGTGACCAGTGAGCATATTGGATCTTGCCTCTGGAGCCTAGGGACTGGACCATCAAAGTGGTATTGCTATGGAAGCAGCAGAATAGTAACTGGGTCTGTGCTTGCCTATTAACACTTTTCTTTCCCTTCATTGTCTCTCCCTTCAATAACCCTAGTTAGAATTTTCCTTCTAGGGATTTCTTAACCTTTTTTTTTTTTTTTTCCTTTTTTTCCTCTCCTTACCTGCAGAGGCTCCGGGGAGACCTTGGGGACTTCTTCGTTGGCTGCATCTTCACGGCAGAACTGAGCACTCCATTTGTGTCACTGGGCAGAATTCTAATTCAGGCATGTATGAATGAAATGGCAGAAATAGTGCAGGATGGAATAGACTCCACTTTTACTTTGGAGATTGTGGAGTATGGAGGAATCCCTTAAGGCTAAGAATAGTGGGATAAGAGACCCTTCAACAGACTTAAGGATCAGTCTGAGGATGAAACTGTATGTTTAATACAGATTGTATTTTTTCCCTAGCTACAGATTCTCTCTAATCCACTTTCTACACTCATCAGATGGGTAACTTAGACCAAATTCAACCTAATATTGGGAAAACTGTGAGGCCACATGTGTGTCTAAATCCAACAGAGCTCTGTAATCTTCTCTACAAGTATGCAAGTCAAAGAATTTGACAGCCTAGGCCTTGGTCAGTACATGTGCCCACTGTCCTTTCCTGATGTAAGACTGGGCTAGTCGCTCCCTGATGCCCCATCCTCTTGGTGACCTTCCGTTCTCCTTCCCTTTCCCTTGCAGCTAAAGCAGCAGCACACACTTCTCTACAAGGTGAACGGAATCCTCACGCTGACCACCTTCCTCTGCTGTCGGATCCTTCTTTTCCCCTTCATGTACTGGGCCTATGGACAACATCAGGGACTAAGCCTGCTCCAAGTGCCATTCAATATCCCTTTCCACTGCAACGTGGCCAATGCCTTCCTCATTGCTCCCCAGATCTACTGGTTCTCTCTGCTGTGCAAGAAGGCGGTCCGGCTCTTTGACACTGCCCAAACCAAAAAGGAGAGTTAACTGTTCGCAGGAATTAGGCAATGAGGGTTGCCGCCTCACACTAGCTGCCTCTACTCAGTATTCTATGGACCAAATTGTGCCCTGGATGGCCTTAGCCTTTTGAGTCTTGATAAGTAGATGGATTTGTTTTTCTAAAAAAGATATTTCTGTTACCTCCCTCTTCTAACCTGCCTTTTTGCAAAAGCACTTTTTTCTTGGTAACAACTATTATATCCTGTCAGACCTCCACTGGCAGCAAGGTAGTTTTAATACAAGCCTGGGGTTCCTTCCCTCAGCCTTATCTGAAGAGCTCGGGAGGTGGAAGCATGGGATGTGGAGGTTGGTGGACCAGGGTGGTAAGTGCCTTGGCACACACCTGGCCCAAATTTTGGTGGCTTCCCACCTTTCCAACCACTCAGGGAAATATCCACAATAGTGGGCCAGTAAAAGCAAGTGGTGACTTGGTTCTTGAAATAATGTTGTCTTGCATTGTTGGCCTGGGAAAATCATTGTGGATATGTAGTTTTTTGTTTTTTTTTTTTTATTGTGTACTAGATAGCTCATTAATGGTTCTTTGCCTCATCTTCTCATCTAGTGACAACAGTGAACTTCCATGTCTATTGACTTCTAGTCAGAAGGCTCACTGGTGGGGCAGGAGGCAGGGCTGGGAACCTGAAGCACTTGAGTTAGGTCAGGAGTCCAACAGAGGCCAGCACCTTTGCAGGGTGACTTGTTTAAAAAAAAAAAAAAAAAAGCCACTATCAAAATTGCGAGCTTATTGCAAGCAGTCACAAGCACTGCTCCCTTCTCTATCTACACATGCATACGTTGCTTCCATGTAACTGTGGGGCAAAGTGAAATGACAGTGTCAGTAGCTGTTTACTGTAACCCCACTATGACGCTGTCCTTTTCATATGAAGTGGAAATGGACTGCTCCATTCCAGACCAGGAGGTGGCTCATCTAGACTAGAGTGCCTTTCCCTGAGCCTCCTAATAAGCCAGGCCGGTTCCTGTGTTGAGTATACTGCCAATTAGCCACAAAAGGTTGGAGAGCAAGAGGGCAGCCAGCCTGACCAAAGCATGTTCTATGGACCGACACCCTCACCTGTTTGCAAATAGGAACCTATGAAGCCAACACTAATCATTCCTTATCCACTAGGATGGGCTTTTTGAAGTGGTAGTAAAAAGCTAGACTTTTTAAAGTGCCTTATAATTCATTGTCCGTGAACTTTAAAAGGACTGAATGATTATGTAAGTCTCAAATTTTGACTGCATTTAACAGGTGCCATTTTAAAAACAAAATAACTATTTTTTTTTTTTACTGTTTGCTATCAATGTATCTTTGTAAGTCATCCATATGGTGACTAAATTGCACTAATTTCCCAAATTACATCAACACTGACTTCCTGTAAGAACCATCCTTTGACCCAATCTGGATGCTGTGTGAAGTTCCTGTGCATGTAACTGACAGTTTGTGTTGATGCTTTCAGCCTCCAGGACCTTGCTCCTACTTTGACATGTTGGTTCCAGGTCCCAGGAATATACTGAAGGTGCCCAGAGTTCAAGCCTGGTGGTCACACATAGCTTTAGGTCTTTTCTTCTCTTCATAGGTGAATCCTGATTGTGTTCACAGAGCCAAGTTTACTTTAGGTGGGGGAGGGAACCTGAGTAGTACCCCATTTTGAATGAGGGTGTGGATATGGAGGAGGTGATGGGCTATCTTTCCCCTCTCGTCTCCCAAAATACCTCCCCAATCAGTTCTTACAGTTCTGTAATACCCTAGGAACCTTACATTCTCATTCTGCTTCTGCACACACCATTCTCCAATCCTACTCATACATCATATCCAGGACAACCCTGCCCCAAGCAGAAGGTAATTATACCCATCCTCTAAGCACACATCTGTTTACCTGCCCTAGGGTTAGTCATTCTGTGTGCCCCCAATGGAGTTAGGGCCGCAATGGCAGTCCTCCCCACAGAACACATGCAGTTCTTGAGATCATCCATCCAGCCCCTTAAAATTGTGTTTCCTGGTTCAATCCTCTTGTTACAAAGGTGCAGGCCTCTTCAGCACACAAATCATAAGGCCAATCAGAGGAATAGTTTGGGCTACCCTTTCCAAGATACCTTGTGAAAAAGATTAAATGTTGACTCTCGAAGAGTCTCATTGTAAAAGAACACACATACTATTTTTTTCTGCTTGGTAGTTCCACCTTTGGGCTTATCAAAATCTATGGTGGAGAATTTCAGTTACAAACATGTCTTCATTGCTTTTGTTGTTGTTTTGCTTTTTTTTTTTTTGGAGACAGTCTCATTATGTAGCCACAGGCCAGCCTTGAACTCACAATCTCCTGCCTCAGCCTCCAGAGTGCTGGGATTACAGGCACGTACTAGATCTTAAAAGCAATTTAAACCTAATTAGCTGGGTGCCAGTTGGTCACATCTGTAATCTCAGCCACTCAGGAGGATCATGGTTCAAAGCCAACCTGGGCAAGTAGTTTGAGAGACCATATCTTGAAAAAACCCATCACAAAAAAAAAAATCGCTGGTGGAGTGGCTGAGTTCAAACCCAGTAACACACACACACACACACACACACACACAACTAATTTAATCCCAGACTATTGCTGAGAAAGACTCAAAAGAGAATTTTTATTATAGTTTGTATGTTACAAATGCCCAAGAAACTATTTTCTTTACACCACTACTGTGGTGTACAATCTTTTGTACAAACTCACATAACTGAAATTTGTGTTTCTTAGCTCTAACGCCTACAGAACCACCATGTTGAGGCCCAACTATTTTCTGCCCTGCAAAGGTCAGAAGTTGCTGATCTTCTGAAGCAGGGTTTGGCGCCACTCCTCGGGGCTAATATTCTCAGCAATGGACTTTAAGAAGCACTGCTCATTTACCTTCTGGAGCAAGGAGCCAACAGAAGGGTTGGTCTTGCTTACGGTTTCATAGCAGGTGAGTACTTCCAAGGCTAACACGTAGAGTGGTTCACAGACTCCTTGAGGGAGCATGGCCATGATGTGCAGAACATGACAGAACATCTGGGAATATACAAACAAGGTTTCCTGAGTCAAGTCCTGGTCCTGTCCTTGGGCCCAGGGGCCCACCGACTGTATCAACCTAACTGAGTCCAGGAGGTTGGTCAGACTGCTGCAGAACAGTTTAACCACGTGGCTCCAGCCTTCCATAGGAAGCCAGTTTTGACAGCTCTGGCTGCAGAGAAACTGGAAAGCTCTCAGGAAGAGAATGGAGAGTTGGAGCTCCTGGGCAAAGGGCTTCAGGTTGAGCAAGGGAATGAACTGAATGTATTCCAAACTGTAAGGGACATGTAAGAACTGTTTCTCCAACAGTCTCCTGATCAACTGATGAAGGCATTGCCATTCCTGGGGGCTGCACCAAGGCATGACTTGCACTAGGGCCACCAGGAAGCCCTTGCTGAACAATCTGACCTCCTCAGGATTGCCCACATCCACCACCAAGAGAGATAGCATCTGCTCAGCAAGGCTGCTGGAGATGTAGCAGCATTCCATCCAGGCAAGAAGCCCCGTGCCAGGCCCATACCCAGGGTGGGCCTGGGAGGTCCACTCAGCCTCAGAAAGCTTACAGATCTCAAAAAGTGTGGCTGGCACCTCACACTTGAAGTGGCCCTCAAAGAAGTTCTTCAGTCTCAGACCCACAGTCCAGTCTAGCTGCTCCAACTTACGGTGGAGCCATGACAGGGACTTGATCCAGGTGTCGGGGGAGAATGTCTCTGCATTGGCTAATACAATCTCACAGAGGCGCTCCAGGATGCGGATCACCTGATCCTTCCCATCCAGAGAGAGGCATCGCTTCTCCTGGGGGAGCTGCCAGTACTTACTGAAGCTATCCAGGAGCTGGCACAAACTGAAGAGAAGGGGGAACGGGGAACAGGCCTGGAGCCAGTACTCCTCTGCACTCACTTCTAGTGTCTGGATGAAGATCTTCAGACTGAGTTCTGCCACTTCAACATCTAGCATCAAGAAAGGCAGGACAAATTCCTTCAGCACCTCGTCTGGTTCCAGAAGAGCAGCGACTGGAATCCCTTGGGGCTTCACAGGACTCATCAGGCAGCTCAGGAGCTCCAAAAATTGCTTTTCTTCCCTGGGTGTAGAGATCGCTGTCCAGACAGTTTCTTTGAGGCATGACACCAAGAACGTGGTGGATGAATTCAGTTCTTGCTCTTCTGTGAACCTAAGGGCAGGGAAGGCAGTGAGAATCTGAGCCAGGAACCTGTGGGTGCCAAGATTGATCACAGCCATGCTGCACATCTTCTTCACTGTGACTTCTGGGTGCAGTATTACCAGGCGGGCCACAGAGGCCACAGCTTTAGCCAAGCCCTGTTCAGAGGCACTCTGTGTGAGCTTGTTAAATGTTGTGTTGAGGTCTTCCTGAAAACCCTCCAAGTAAGCCAACAGCCTTTCAGTGAGGCCCTTTCGTCCCCAGCAGTGTAAGACACCTGAGAGGACTTTATTTTTGTCTGGTAGTGAGAGGTCTGCATAGCATTCCAGGATCAAGCTAATCACCTGCTTGATCTGAGATTGGGGGATGGCTTTGTCAGTTGTGCTGACTTCCATCACTGTTTCCAACAGCCTCAAAACCAAGTCTGGATCTCGGAAAAGAGACCTGTTATTAGCCAGGCAGGCTATCCACTTGTCTGAGAAGGCCCACTTCTTCTCAGAAGCAAAAATGTAGCACACTTCCAGGTGCCGGTCCATCTTCTGCTCAATGATGGCCATGGCGATGGAAGCAGTGATGTTGTCAAAGTTCTTGTTGTTCAGAACCCTACTGGTTTTCCTCAGAAAGTCTTTGACACACTCGGCCAGCTCAGAGACCATCTGCCTTTCCTCCTTGGACAAGCTGGTAGAATCCAGGTACAGCTTCAGGTTCTGGCTGAAAGATGTCAGACTGTTGCACAGCCGGTAGCTGTCGTAATTCATCCCCTGGCTGCTGTTGAGCATGGCCTGCAGCTCTTCCCCCCATTCTCGCAGCAGGCTGTGCAAGAACTCAAAGCCCGCAAAAATGGTCTCACTGGGGAGTTTGGCCAGTGAGGTCAGGCTGACATCCCGCTCTGCCTCCTTTACCTTCTCTACCAGTGCTTGCTTGTGGTATGGGTTTTGGGTGTCTGAATTCCACACGGAGATCACTGTGGCCAGTTTGTCTAGATACATGGTTGCAGACACTTCCTGAGGGTCATCCTCCAGAGCAAACACGGTCAGCATGTCTGCCAAGTTGGCTAATGCACAGCACTTCATCCCCACAGACAGGATTCTCTTCTGGATTTTCTTCAGTCCATTGAGCAGCATGGCCAGGAGGGGCATGGCTGGACACACATCTGGGTCTGACTTAAACCTCTTTGGAGGGTGGGAGAACTCGTCTGACGAGGGCAAGTACTTATGGGCCATTACCCGAAACTGTGAGAGCAGGGGGTCCTGCGGATTGCCCTTGTGCTTCATCATCTCCCACCAGACATCAAGGAAGAAAGCTACATCCTTGGAAGAAGTGTCAATGGTCATGTGCTCCAAAAAGCGCTCTAGCTCTGTGCGGCAGACAGCGGTAGGCAGGGCCATCAGGAGCTGGATGAAGAGTCCAGAAGCTTCCAGAGACTTCAGCAGCTCAAAAAGAACCGTGTGATTGATGGTAGGGATCATGTTGCCCACTGAGAAGAATACGTCTTCCTGCCACCGAGTTTCAGTGTCAGAGGGGGTAACAGGGGAGGGCTGTAGGACCTTGGCCCAGATGATGATCAGAGCTTTCTTCTTCCAGGCAAACGGCTGGGAATGGGCTGTAGCCAAGGAGATCTCCCTCAAGGCCTCCACAATGGGCCGCCCAACATGTTCCCAGTCAGACTTGGTCAACTGTGCCAGTGCTTTGGGGCGGAACAGCTGCTCAGCCAGCAAGAAGCCCCCATGCAAAATAGTCATTTCTTCACAGATATTCAAGGGCCCTGTACAAAGAGAAACCGAGTAAAAGTGTGGTGAAAAGTCTTCAAGATAATATGCAGAGGTTAGAGAGAGACAGCAGTTATTAGGCTAGGTGTCATTATCAAGATTAGAGAGGATAAGGCTTGAAAAGACATCAGTAGGAGAGGAAGAAGGGGTGGTGATAAGAGCTACTGCAGAGCTGGAAGGATAACAAGTGCCATTAGAAATAGGGGATAGACTCAGAACAGGTTAACAGGGAAGACAAGTCATATAGGTTACTGAGCCTGAGGTAGAACATTAACAGGTATCTTCCAGCAGTGGAAGTTCAGGAAGAAAGGCCTGAAAAGTGAGCCTGGGAGGTGCTCCCCAGAATGGCTCACTGGAACCAAGGAGGTGAATACAATTCCTCAGAAAGTGTGAAAGGAAAAGCTGGGCTGTGGAGGCTGGACCCGCCAGCAAAGGGCTGAGAATTTGGGAAAAAGGGCTTAGAAGAGACAGCCTAAGCCAGGTGCCAGTGGCTCAGGAGGCAGAGATCAGGAGGACTGCGGTTCGAGGCCAGCCTGGGCAAACAGATTGCGAAACCCTATTATGAAAAAAAACCCATCACAAACAAATTCTGGTGAAGTGGCTCAAGGTGTAGCCCTGAGTTCAAATCCCAGAACCAAAAAAAAAAGAAAAGAGACAGCCTAAGGACAATGTCAAACTACAGGGCCACCAGATATGTATCAGAAGACCTAACAGCTGAGGCTCTCAGTGATGGTGAGACTAGGGAGAGCACAGGCTCCAGAGCCAGTGGCTCAGAAGCAATCAAACAACTCCGCCTTCCCTGATTTTTTTTTTGGGGGGAGGGTGGTACTGGGGTTTGAACTCAGGGCCTTACACTTGACAGGCAAGCACTCAACCACTTGGGCCTTGCCCCGAGCTTTTTGCTTTAGTTATTTTTCCAATAGGGTCTCACATTTTGCCTGGGTCACAATCCTATTTCCACTTTTCCTGTAGCTGGGTGCATACCACCCACGCCCACCTTACTGGTTGACATGGGGGGTCTCAGAACTTCCCCACCCTTTTCAAACCATGATCCTTCAGAGCTCTGCCTTCCAACTAGCTGGGATTACAGGCGTGGGCCAGTATCCCTGACCTCTCTTTTTTCTCATAGCCTTGCCAAGAACAGGTTTCAAACACTCTCCTGCCTCTCAGGGAACAGTTCACCCCACAGCCTCTTCCGGTTGGAGGACAAACTACTCACGGCCCTGGTTCTGTGGCAGAAACCAAGGATAAGATACAAGAAGTACTATGCTGTGGTAAGACAGTAAAATCACTCCTTCAGTGAGCTATGAATTGAGACTTAAGGAAGGCTGGGAAGTTTAGTCAGATATGGATCTAAATCCTAACTCTGCCACCCGAAAGTGAACTTAGTAATGTGAGCCTCCCTTCTGTACATGTGAGCATAATACAGACATCAAGGCATAGCTGTGAGAATCAAATGACATACAAGTCACGCCCTTGGAACTGGGTTGTGATTGTTGTCTCTGGATCCCATATTTCAAGCATGGGAGAGGGTAAAAGGTTAACTAAGATACAGCTCTTAAGAGCCTGATTCAATGCTTAATAAGTACTGCTATCCCAAAGCCTTTCCATTGCTGGCAGGACCAGATTCTTGTCACTATTCTTTGTCTCCCCATCGTAGAAACACAAAAGGACAGGACATAGTTTTTATCAAATATGTTTCCTTTGGCCTAGAAGCTAAAACCCGAGTGCAAACACTGCTCACCCTGCAGTGCTCCTGACTCCTCTGCCCTTTTCTAAGGCCCAGAGATGCTATTCCTCCCTCAGTACTCATTCTCACAAGAGCACATCTTGCCCATGTTCATAAGCCAAGAGTCAGCAGAGAAAATACTGACAATTACGGCACAAAAGGCCAGCGATCACACCCCTGTGCAATATTTGTGAAGGCAATCTATTTTGGCTTCATGTGCAGAGTCAGACTTCCAGGGTTATCTTGTTCAGAGGGTCTCTCTGGGAGTTAGGGCCCTTCTTTCTGGCTCAGGCTGCTAGCCAAGAGCCCCAAAATACACTTCCTCTTGACTATGCAAATTCAATTTTATTGCACCACCAGTTCAGCTGAGATGTGTGACCCCCAACACCAGCATTCTAGACATTATGTATACATACTGCTTGAAAAGTCCCACAAGCAGTTAATAATTGGAGAAAAACAGCTGGGGGTAGGGTGGCTCACACCTGTAATTCTAGCTACTTGGGAGGCTGAGATTGGGAGGATCAAAATTCAAGGCCAATCCAGGCAAATAGTTCTGGAGACCTTATTTCCAAAATAACCAGAGCAAAATGGACTGGAGGTGTGGTTCAAGCAGTAGTGCAGTGCACCTGCTTTGCAAATGTGAAGCCCTGAGTTCAAACCTCAGTTCCAAAAAAAAAAAAATTGGGAGAAACCCCAGGTGCTTTATCAATAATTTTTTTTTTGTGGGGGACTGGGGTTTTGAACTCAGGTCTTCAAGCTTGCCAAGCAGATGCTCCTCAGCTTAAGTCACACCTCCGACCCACTAATGATAGTTTATCACCAGCTGGTGCCACTTTCTTTTTGGGCGGTACAGCAGTTTGAACTCAGTGCTTCCCAAGTGCTCTGCCACCTGAATCATGCCTCCAGCCCGAGTGCCCACTTCCTACATTTGTTAAGTGACTGCTTACTCTGGCGGGCGCTGTGCTTAGGAGGTACACTTATAAGAATCTTTTTAATCTTCAAATTAACCTTTTAAGGACTTTTATTGCTGTTTTAGAGAAGGGAGGCTGCTCAGAAACAATTTGCTCAAGGTGTCTCAATCACAAAGTGGTAGAGCTGAGACAGAAACACCCAGGCGGTAGGACTTGAAATGCCATCCCACCACTGAAGGGACAGGGACCACAACACTTCTCCACAGCCTATTACTGGCCCATCTCCAGGCAGCTCTCCAGCACAGCCTCCCGGTCTTACCCTTTTTTGAGAACGCACACAGTAGGGTGGCAAGGCTTAGCAAGGGGCCTTCCATCTCTATCAGCCCCGCCCTTCCTTTCCCAGACCTTGCTATGAGGACTCTGAACCAAGCTGCGATCAGGTTCAAAAAGTGCCACCTCCGCTGCTGCACGCCTTCCCCACACTGAGAGCATGACGAGCGCCGCGGTGTGCAGAGAACTGTTATTAAAACTCCCCAAAACTCTGGGGGAAGACGGTATCATAGCCCTGCTTTACGGACGAGGAGGCCGGGAAGTCTAAGCAACGTGCTGAAGAACTTAGTACATGTTCGATGAACTAGGCCATCGGGACATCGTGGCTCCTCCGGGTGTCCTCGGAGCGCGGCATTTCCCAAAGCACGTGCACCGGCCCCGTCTCAAGGGATCCAACTTCACGCCGCTAGGGAGTTTCCCGTGTTGTTAAGGGGCCAGGAGTGGGGGAAAGGCGAGCCACGGAGCGGTGGGGCTGCGGCTGGAGCCCGGCGTCCCGACCCACGGTCTCCAAGGACACCTCCAGACCCCCAAACCCTCCCCAACCCGGAGGTTTTCTGTGGCCGGGGCCCGCACGGGCGTGCGCAGCAGGAGATGCGCGCCAGGCCGCGCCCAGCCGAGGCTGAGCGTTTCGAGGCGCCTCCCGGGCGGGCCGGGGCAGGGGAGCCGAGCACCCACCTAGGTCCATGGCGGCGACGTGGTGGCGGCGCGGGGCCGCCCCTCCCACTCCGAAGCTGTGACCGCGGCGCAGGCGCCACGGCACAATGGGCGGTGCGGGGGGCGGAGCCCAGAACCCCGCCTAGTCCCCCCTCCCGGGCGTCCGGCGCAGACTGCCCGTCGCTCCGCGCGCACGCGCGCTCCTCGCCAACGAGCTCGCGGCGTCCAGGCCTCCAAGCCCACAGCGCCCCCTTTCGGCTCCCGGCCGCCCACCAGCAGGTACCTTGTGCAGGGCCACCTTGCCCAGCCCTGCTTCCTGATGCAGGCGATCCGATCATTAGCCTCTGGCCCCGCATTCAGCCTCACCCAGGAACCCCGGCAGCGTCCGCACACAGGTCACGCACTCCGGTGCCCTTCCCCAGGGCTGTCCACTAACCAGCACACCCGCCACACTCGGGAGATTTCGCTCTTCAGCGGAGCCACGGGTCTCGCTTCCCGCCCAGCACCGTACGGTTGCCCTCACTCTTCATGCCGCACTGCCTCCTTTGGACAGCAGCAGCGATCCTTAATTTTCCTGGATCATAGGCACCTTTGAAATTTTGATGGGTAGTGCTCCCCAGAAAATGCAGTTGGGCAGATCCAGTCCAGTGGACCCCTAGTTTGCAATCCATACTTTATAACACACACACACACACACACACACACACCCATTGTTCTTCACTGTTTCTCCTTTTCTGTTCTTCCCAAGATCTAATAATCAGCCTATGTGTTTCCAACTCTCCACCCCCCAGCTTCTAGCACCAGTTGTCACCTAGGAAGGACAGAGGAGCCCTACCTGCGGTAGGTACTCTTAATGTGCCAAGTGGAGTTTGAACTGGCTTGCGCTGCGATCAAGCAATTGAAGGGTCCTGTGAGTGATGAGGAGAAACTGCTGGTGTACAGCTTTTACAAACAAGCCACTCAGGGCGACTGCAACATCCCTTCTCCTCCAGCCTCAGATGTGAAAGCCAAAGCTAAGTGGGAGGCATGGAATGTGAATAAAGGGATGTCCAAGATGGATGCCATGAGGATCTACATTACTAAAGTGGAGGAGCTGAAGAAAAAAGACACTGGATGAGGACAGTTTAGCAGAGAATGAAGTAGCATGGCTCCTGTGGTAGGGAATGGGCTTCTTAAAAGATCTTGATGGCTGAAATGTCCTGAAGGGGTAGCAGGGTTAGCTGAGACATCAATAAATCCCTTAAACTGCATGAGAATGGCTGTCTTGCTGTTGAAAAGGAGAAACTCAGTGACCATGAAAATCCTAGAGAGGTGTCCAACAAATTGGCTTTCTGAATATATATATTTGGCAGTACTGGGGTCTGAACTCAGGACCTCATGCTTGCTAGGCAGGCACTTTTACCACTTTAGCCATTGCACTTCCACCAGCCCTTTTTTGTGTTGGGTATTTTTGAGGTAGGGTCTCAAGAACTATTTGCCTGAGCTGGCCTCAAACCTCTAGCCTCCTGATCTCTCCCTCCTGGGTAGCTAGAATTACAGGTGTGAGCCGCCAGTGCCTGGCTTTTCTGTGTGTTTTGAATGGTATACCCACAGCATATGTAGACATTTGGCAGTAGAAGAGTCTGGATGTGTGTGTGTGGAAGGGGTATATCATACTGTGAAAATGTCCAAGGCTGGAGGTGAGTGGTCTCTGTGGAGGCTGAGGACTTGGACTAGTATCTCTTCAGGGGAGGCTGAGGACTTGGACTAGTATCTCTTCAGGGGCTTCAGACTCACCAATAACCCAACACTACGGAGGGGAAAGGGACTCTGTCTTTCAGAAAGCAAAAATAAAACCCAAAAACCCTCAGTGAATTGCAGACCCCAAGAAGTTAATGTTTTCAGGGAAGCCAAACTTTCAATGACATAGTGATAAGGTAACTGATGCATCACAAGGTAGCAGCTGGTAACCAATGGAGCAGATGGTTTCAAAATCCCAGCCTCTGAGAGACCTAAGATGTAGTTGCTAAGGCCTAGCAACTACAACTTTCTTGGAACTACTCTTTATCTAATCTTGTTTTCTGCTAGGAAATCTGTATGGGACAATGTTTAAGTACATATATGTGAGATTTCTTGTAAGAACACAACACACCCTTGACCTATGCAAGTTCCAAACCACAGAGGCATCAGTGTACAACAGTTGCTTCTGGTGGCTGGGAATATAGAATGCAGAGTAGTTCTTTCTTTTAAGTAGAGTTCTTAGAGGCATTTCAAAGAAACAGGTCTGTTGTGGCATGACTTTTCCTCAAAAACTATTTTCAGGCTGGGGGATATCTCAATGTTAGAGATAAGCATGATGCTGGTAAGCATGAGACCCTTGATTTAATCCCTAGCACTGCAAACAAAACCATTTTCACAGATCATGATGTCAGGTCGATTCCATGAGGGAGCACTGAACAGAAGCAACAATCATGAAGACTTGCCGGGTGCCAGTGGTTCATGCCTGTAATCCTAGCTACTCAAGAAGCAGAGATCAGGAGGATTGAGGTCCGAAGCCAGCCTGGGCAAACAGTTCATTAGACCCTATCTCAAAAAAACCCATCACAAAAAATGGCTGAGTTCAAGCCCCAGTACTGAAAAAAAAAAAAAAAAAAGACTTCAGAGGAAGGAGTCTTTACTGCCTCTATGGGAAACAGATGTTTCTCTTCCCCCCCACCCTGACTTCTCCCTACTTTATCTTGTTATTATAAAATTAAACCTTGGTTAAACTTCAAAAAATAAGACTTGAGAGGACAAAGGAAACCAAATCTCACCAGCTATCTTCTGTCCACATATTTGCAGAAAGTTGGCTATAGACAAAGCACATGACTTAATGAAGTAGGGCTGGGGACATAGTTCAAGTGGTAGAGAGCTTGCCTAGCATGTGCAAGACCCTGGGTTTGATCCCAGGGCAATAAAAAAAAATTTAAGCTATCATAGTAACTCAACAATGTTATAGCTATAATGTGGGCAAGAACCACACATAACAGACTGCTGTTCTCTCCCCTTTAGAGGATATCATGAGCACATTTGGATGCTTTTAGGACTATTATTCCCAGCTAAATGTGAATGAATAGAAAAAAAATAATATAACTCATTCCAAAATGTGGTGGCAGTCTGGGAGTTGTAAGTTGCCTTACCATTTTGTAAATTATAGATCCCTGATAAAGCAAGAAGTTGTCATATGTAGAATTACAGAAAGTACTTGTAAGTAAAAAAAAGTGTATACAGCGTGCTAAATTTTATAGGGGAAAGGAAGGAAATAAAGATATATTTGTGATGCTTAATAAGTAGTTACGGGGAGAGGGTGTTGATAAGGACAAGGTAGGAACAAAGATTTTCTAATGTTTTGATTTTTGAACCATGTGACTATTATAAAAAAGTTCAGGAAAGGCACTTACTGATCAAGGCCAGAGTTAATTTTCTACTGATTTTCCATAGGGTAAGGGTAAGAACTCATAATTTCTCACTAATTCCTATGTTGGAGGCCTCCTGAAAACTGGCTGATAAACCAAAATGGCTGTTACATGTGAGACAGGCCGAAATTTCACATAAAGAAACACTGAATGTCCATGGTTTTGCTAGTTCCACTAAGATGGCAGGAAGACTAGGCTAGGAGTTCATATAGCTAACTCCATCTTGCAACATGCCATTCTAAATCTCTGAATTTAAACTCAAGACACCGTTGAACTCACAATTAGTATGCTGGGACTACACAACCTATCAAGTAAGCAAAGTGACTTCTCTGAAAATATAACTCTGGAAACTGAAGAGCTTCCAACTTTTATCTGTTTAAAACAGCAGCTTGTGTAAAACCATCTTTCTAATTATCACATTTGTTCCCCAGCAGAGGTTCAAGATTTGAACTCAGGGCATGGCGCTTGCTAGGTAGGCACTCTATTACTCTGCCAGACCTGGTTTTGTTGTTGTTGTTGTTTGTGTGTGTGTGTGTGTGTGTGTTGGATTTGTTTTTTCAGATAGGGTTCTCACAAACTATTTGCCCAAGGCTGGCTTTGAACAGCAATCCTTCTGATCTCTGCCTTCTGAATAGCTAGGATTACAGGTGTGAACTAATTACTTTTTTTCCTATAAAAATCAAATTAGCTGGGCACTAGTGGCTCACACCTGTAACCATAGGTACTTGGGAGGCTGAGATTAGGGGGATTACAGTTAGAGGCCGTCCTGGGTAGATTGAGAGACTCCATTTCCAAAATAACCAGAGAAAATGGACTGGAGGTGTGGCTCAAGCTGTAAAGTGTCTTGAGTTTTTGGTTTTTTTTTTCCTTTTGGTGGAACTGGGGTTTGAACTCAGGGCTTTATGCTTGGAAAGCAGGCACACTACTGCTTGAGCCATGATCTTCCCAATCTTGGCCTCCCAAGTAGACAGGATTACAGGCATTGACCCACCAGTGCCCAGCTACAGTGCCTGCTTTGCAAGCTCAAAGCCCTAAGTTCAAACCCCAGTCCCACTCCCCCCACCACACACACAAAATCAAAATTTTTTCAGCAAGTTTTCATTTGGATGAAGGCTTTGGTGAGGCACACGTCAGTCCAATGTACATGAAGACTCCTTACCCACACATGCAGCCTATTTTCAACTTCTCTTGCATCTGATTTTCTAATTGTGATCATATGTCATCCCCACAGATGGGAAAGTAATAGTAGCTTTTAAAGTTACAGTTTTTGATTTAAAAATACTGGGATGTAGCTGAATGGTAGAGTGCTTGCCTAGTATGTGTGAAGGCACTGGTTTCAATCCCCAGCACCAGGAAAAAAAAAAAAAGAGAGAGAGAAAAAGTAGTAGCTACTTTTAAGAGATCCCACTTCACACCTGCTTAGGGTTTTCCCATAGAAAAGAGGCAGAATTCTTGACCCCTACAAAAGCAAACTTGTTTACTTGGTAAAAGGCCAAGGTTGTGCCCTAAATGGCTTTAGGATTTAATAAAGTATTAAAGATGGCAACAAAGGAAAATATGACAGGCAATGAAATAAAGGGGGCTAATCTCTTAAAGCCACAATGTCCCAAGTCAATAACTAGCATTCATTTCTATCATGCACGGTATCTTCTATTACACATAGTTGCACATTTGGGAGAAAATATTTTACCATGTTAAAATACAAGAGGAACAGATAAAGAGGAAACTAGTATGTGTTATTTAGTCACTCAGTACTTGTACTAAAACAAACTTAGATGATCCTCTTATAGCAGCCTAATAACACTGGGGATAGTAGCTTCTTTTCATGAGAACAGTATTATTAGGGATAAATAACATGAATTACTTAACACTCTAATAGAAAAGCTGATAATTAAACTAATCATAGCCTAAAGAGACATAAAAGTTTATAGAGAAAAAAATGAACCAGTCACCTAAAGGAGAAATATATTCTTTGATTTGCTTTGAAACTCCTGATTGCTTCCCTAATATAGGGAAATTCAGTTGAATAAAGTGTTGTTGAACTAGACAAGGATTTTTTTCTCCCAGTGAAGTTAAGACACGCCTGTAAGAAGGTAAGCTGTGACTCACCCACAAATTTCATGCCCCACCCTGTCAGTAAGGGAGAACTGTGGAGGTTATGATTTGCCAGAAATTTTGTAGCAGTAGTTTTGGAACTGGTATTCTCTGAGTCAATCCTTTCCAATTTCCTCAGTTTATTCTCAAAAATTTGAATCTGGAAACCCTTTTAAGTAATGAGACAGATTGATATAACAGCTTTATTTCAGCAGCATACTTTAAAAAAATTTTATATTCAATACAATTCTGTTTCCAGTGATTAAAACCAATTTGTTGTGCAGACCCAAATAAAAAACCACTAGAAAGAAAACAAATTTTTTTCAGGCTGAATAAATCATTTAATCCATTTTTTTTTGGTTAATTTTTTTAATTCAAAAGAAAACCTAAATATGACTTTGTTATTTTTCACAACTGTTAGAGAAAAATTTTGAGATGATACAAAGTAAAAGTAGAGTTCATAAAATGTGCTTACCACTTTTACAGCATGTACCTGGAAAATGAGCTTACTGATTTTATTTATTTTTATTTTATTATTATTTTTTTCTTTTATTATTTATATGTGCATACAAGGCTTGGGTCATTTCTCCCCCCTGCCCCCACCCCCTCCCTTACACCCACTCCACCCCCTCTCTCTCCTCCCCACCCCCTCAATACCCAGCAGAAACTATTTTGCCCTTATCTCTAATTTTGTTGTAGAGAGAGTATAAGCAATAATAGGAAGGAACAAGGGTTTTTACTGGTTGAGATAAGGATAGCTATACAGGGAGTTGACTCACATTAATTTCCTGTGCGTGTGTGTTACCTTCTAGGTTAATTCTTTTTGATCTCACCTTTTCTCTAGTTCCTGGTCCCCTTCTTCTATTGGCCTCAGTTGCTTTTAAGGTATCTGCTTTAGTTTCTCTGCATTAAGGGCAACAAATGCTAGCTAATTTTTTAGGTGTCTTACCTATCCTCACCCCTCCCTTGTGTGCTCTCGCTTTTATCATGTGCTCAAAGTCCAATCCCATTGTTGTGTTTGCCCTTGATCTAATGTCCACATATGAGGGAGAACATACGATTTTTGGTCTTTTGGGCCAGGCTAACCTCACTCAGAATGATGTTCTCCAATTCCATCCATTTACCAGCGAATGATAACATTTCATTCTTCTTCATGGCTGCATAAAATTCCATTGTGTATAGATACCACATTTTCTTAATCCATTCGTCAGTGGTGGGGTATCTTGGCTGTTTCCATAACTTGGCTATTGTGAATAGTGCCGAAATAAACATGGGTGTGCAGGTGCCTCTGGAGTAACCTGTGTCACAGTCTTTTGGGTATATCCCCAAGAGTGGTATTGCTGGATCAAATGGTACATTTAATCCATTTTAAAGATATCTAACATTATGTTCTTTCTTGAGAGGATTGTTTAAAATTATATAAAGAAACTGGCAATGATCCAGGCATGTAAATGCTTTCTGTCTGTTTCCTCTGGCTATTCAAAGTGTAAAAGCAAGTAAGATGGGGGTGTGGTGTTAACCAAATCTTTTTGTCCAAGGAATAAAATTTCTTTTAAAAAATTCAAACATCTAGCCTGGTGTAGTGGTATGTATCTGTAATCCCAGCATTCCACAGGCTGAGGCAGGAGACTCTCCAGTTCAAGGCCAGCCTGGACTACACAGTGAGACCTTGTCTCTGACAAAAAAAAAAAGAAAATTTTTTTATATGTCAAGACCTGTCACAGTAAGACATTACAACATTATTATCATCAGGCTCTGGGATTATGACCATTAAAAGCAATAGATCTGGATTTGAACAGTTGCTCCAATAAAATCTACATGGTTAACAGCTCATCAAAATCCCCATCCCCAACTGAGAGTAATGTCCCATAGAACTGTCCCCATAATTTGTTACAGATCTATATATGGTAACACAAAGAATGTGCCATTCCAGAGACAGGCAAATTAAAGCAAGAGTTGTCTTCTTAGAGTAGTGGTAACTGGATTTCATTTCTTTTTTTTTTTTTTGGTGGAACTGGAGTTTGAACTCAGGGTTTTATGCTTGCAAAGCAGGCATTCTACTGCTTGAGCCACTCTTCTAGACCTGGATTTCATTTCTAAAACATATTAGAGCTTTCAAAGATTGAAATACCCAAATCTTTGCCACCTAGGCCTCCTTGCCAATTTGTAAGAGCATTTATTGTAAACGGACACATCAGGCCTCACAGATGCTGGACAGGAATCATTAATGCTTGTTCCACATGAGGTCTTCCATTAACCTGAAGCCTTTGGTTTATTTCTTGTAGCAAACCATTCATCACTTTTATCTGCTGCCATTGCCTACAGAAACAGAAATGGAATATACATTTATCCCACGTCTGAAAAACAAAGGATACAGCCCACTTTGTACTTCATTGCAATATCACAGTGAAGAAATTAACATTTAAAGACTTCAGCCAGGTGCCAGTGGCTCACGCCTATAATCCTAGCTACTGAGGAGACAGAGATTAGGAGGATTGTGGTTTGAAGCTGGCCTGGACAAATAGTTCAAGAGATCCTAACTTGAAAATACCCAACACATACAACATAAAAAGGGCTGGCAGAGTAGCATAAGTGGTAGAGTGCCTGCCTAACAAGCATGAGGCCCTGAGTTCAACCTTAGTACCGCCAAAAAATTTAAAAAAACAAAACAAAAAAACCAACTGTTCATCCAGTATATTTTGTTCAGTGGGTCAGCAGATGCCAGTGAGTACTAAGCAGTTGCCTAGTAATTCTCATTCTGCAGAGTAAATGGTTGCAAAGCTTGCAGCTAGGAAGCATGGCAGCTGCTGTTGAGGGAGAGGACCTTGCACGCCAGACTGGGATCTTTGGCAGAACAAGAATCTTTAGTGCTTATGAGACTCAGTCTGAGACTGAGACAAAAATATGAAAAGTCATTTGATATTTTAGATACTGAGCCTGGAAGGACTCCCTTTTTAAAGCCTTGGCCCAGCCTAATGTTCTGTTGGGATAGTTTTGTGCCTTTTATTGAAAAGGAAGCCTTGTTTACAGTGTTTTGGTTCTATGAGTTTTCTTAGTTGTTTGGCAAGGAAGAACATTTATTCACTCAAAAAGCAAGTATGGAAATACCTTTTAAGAAATGAGTTTTTATCATGCTCTAGGTACTATGCTGAGTTCAAGTATAACAGAAGAGACACAGTCTGAGGATTTGGGGATATATATATAGAGAGAGAGAACAGCTGAGGACTCATATAGAAACAATTATTTTGTACAAGAGAGTGTGTGTCTTGATACATTTGTTATAATAGAGTCATGACAAAGTAACATCAGACCAAAAGGAAAGGAACTAACTGGTTGGAGAAAAAGTGTAGAAATTATTCATCTACATTTTAACTTAGAATCAGTGAAGCTGAAAGTGCCCATCCTTGGGAAGTGGGACTCAGAGATAGGGCAAGACACGTTATGTTTCATTTATATAAAATCTCTGTACAGGCACCTATATAATCCTAGCACTTGGGAGGTAGAGGCAGGAGGACAATGAGTTCGTGGTCAGCCTGAACTACATAGCAAGACCCTATATTAATATATTCCAGTTAAGCCAGGCACCAGTGGCTCACACCTGTAATCCTAGCTATTTGAGAGGTTGAGATAGGGAGGATCACGATTTGAGGCCAGTCTGGGCAAACAGTTCACAAGACCCCATCTCCAAAATAACTTGAGCAAAATGGACTAGAAGTACAGTTCAAGTGGTAGAGCACCTATTTTGCTCTGAGTTCAAATCCCATCCCACCAAAAATATATATATAACTATATATTCCACTTAAAGCTAGTTACAGTCGGGTACTGGTGGCTCACACTTATAATCTTAGCTACTCAGGAGGCAGAGATCAGGATGGTCACGGTTGGATGCCTGCCCAGGCAAAAAGTTCACGAGACCCTATCTTGAAAAACCCATCACAAAAATAGGGCAGATAGAAAGCCCTGAGTTCAAGCCCCAGTACCACTTTTTTAAAAAAAAAAGCTAGTTACAAAATTTACAGGGTGAACAAACTGTATAAAATCAATTTTTGGACAACAGGAAAATTTTAATAAGAACTGCAAGTGCAGTTTTTCCCAGCACTATGGTGAAAGAAAAACAACTGGATTATAGATGACAATTAAGGGCATGCTATTAATTTTTTAGGTGTAACCATGTCAACATGGTATATAAGAAAAACAATTACTTTTTTCAAATTGTCTTAAAATATAGAACATAAGTGTTTTAGGGTAAAATGGCATAATGTTTGAAATTTGCCTTAGAACTGTCCAACAAGAAAAAAAAACAACCCAAGAAACAAACAAAAAAAAACCCTGGGAGCTGGAGTGGAGGGAAGGAATGATGAAAAATTATGGAACACTTTCTAATCATGACATGATAAAAAATAAAAGCTATTAGGAAAACGGCATAGACCTGAATATATAATTTGCAAAAGAAGGTAAGTGAATGGCCAATAAACTTGTGTAAAGTCATCAAGGAAATACGAATTAAGACCAAAATAAGAAACCATGCTACATGTATTAGAATGGCTAATAAATTTAAAAAAAACCAAGAAAACAAAATGTTGGTGAGGATTAGAGCAAGTGGGACTCTTGTATGCCTACAGTAGGTCCCTGCATTCTCAGAGGATACATTCCAAGACCCCCAGAGGATGCCTGAATAGTACCTATAATTTAATGCCTTCCCATCTTTAACTGTTTAGGGGCCGGGGCGGAACCCAGGGCCTTACACTGCTAAGCAAGTGCTCTGTCATGGGGCTATATCCCGAGCAACTGCTTCTCATCTTACCTAAGCATTTATGATGTGCTTTTGCATTTTGAGGTGCAGCAGCAAAGCACAAATTTCTTTTTCCTTCTTTGTAATTTCACAGATTTATTCTTACCCTTTGTTTTAAGCAAAAAACAATTTCATAGGAAAAAAACCTTCCAATGAAATCAAGAACTTTCACCTTTTCACCTAAAAGAAGCACTTTGCAGCATCTCTTTAGCATATCCAAATTGCCAGGACCACTACTTTTGTGCTTTGGGGCCATTACTAAGTAAAATAAGGATTACTTGAACTCAAGCACTGAGGTGCCAAATTAATCTAATAATCAAGATGGCTACAAAATGACTAATGGGGTAGTAGTGTATACAGTGTGGATACCCGGGACAAAAAAAATTGGTTGATGCCACAGGTAGAACAAAGACAGCAAGAGATTTCACCATGTTGCTCAGAACAGTGTGCGATTTCAAATGTCTGAATTATCTATTTCCAGAATTTTTAATTTAATATTTTTGGATGTGGCTGACTGTAGGTAACTGAAATCATGGAAAGAGAAACATGTATCTACAAGATTTAAACAAAAATGTTCATAGCAATCTTCCTTACAATAGGTAAAAATCTAGAAACAACCCAAACGCTCACTATAAGAATGATAAACACATTTTTATCTCATAAAAGTGAGCACCATTCAACAATAAGAAAGAAAATATGATATATGCAATTCCATGGAGGAATCTCAAAAATGTTATGTCGAGAGAAAAAAATCTAGGCACAAAAGGGTACCTACTGAATGAGTCCATTTGTATGAAGTCCAAAAACAAACAAAACTAATCTATTGTGCCAGAAATCAGAACAGCAGTTGCCTCTGGGAGAAGCTGTTAGAGAGATATGAAGAAGGCAGGATCTCTAATGCCAAAGCAGAAGAGAGATTAGAAGAGGAGGTTTATCAACAGCAAAAAATCAAGAAGGGAAGAGTCTAGCAAATCTGCCAACTGAGAGGTCACTTGAAATTCTATTTTCCTCCATGATCAAGCTTTAAAAGGCTGTATTTCCTACACATTTTCTGCTTTAATTCACATTAATTAAGCATCTGTTATCATGTTCACAATTTTCCAAGACCTATAAACCACACAATAATCCCATGAAGTGTATATTATTAATTTTCTCACATTTTCAGAAAAAGAGATAGAAATTCAAAGAATTTAAGTAAATTGTTTAAGGTCAGTTTTGTAGTCACTAAATGATAGAACTGGGATAGGTTGATTAATTTCTTAAATCATCCAACAAAGTATTCAGAGATAAATGAGGTGCAGTGGCTAGTACCTATAAGTCTAGCTGTTTGGAAGAATAAGGCAAGAGGATTGCTTGAGTCTAGGAGTTCAAGGCCAATCTGGGCAACATACTTGCATTCTTGTCTCAAAAGTCAAAAGTATTCAGAGAATGTCTACTTCATCCCAGGTATGAGCTAGAAGCTGGGATACAACAATGAGCAACTGCTTTGAAAACTGCTGGAAAATCAAAGTTTAATGAGACCACACAAGAGGTTGCTGGATTTGGCAAGGTGGAGGACACTAGTGATAACAATACAAGCAGAATCGGTGTCAAACAGACACTAAATGGGAGATGAGTAGAAACTGTGTGTAGATCTACTGTGTGTGTGTGTGTGTGTGTGTGTGTGCTGGGGATGAACTCAGGCAAGCACTTTACCCCTTTAGCTGTAAGACAGATTTCTTAATGAAGAAATCTAACCATAAAGAAATCTGATGGCACAGGCCTAATGCTAGCTCTAGGAGGCAGAAGCAGGAGGATTGCAAATTTGAAGCCAGCCTGAGTTATACAGTGAATTCTAGGCAACTCTATGCTATAATAGCAAGACCCTATCTCAAACAAACAAAAAGAAATCTAGAGACTGGATACCTGGTCAATAAAAAGATGGGAGTTACTGGAGTCTGTTTCTAGTCTGATGAGAACAATTCACTATGAAGGAAGAAGGCTGGTATTATCAAATGGAGAAAAGATGACCAAAAGGCTAAGGATGTAAGAGGGGATGGAATCCAGGTATTTCCATTCACTGAGCAGAAAACTGGTGTACACAGTACCAGTGGTTCCCTAAGGCAGCCCAAGGCAGTGGGAGGTGTAGATGCTGAGTCCACATAGGGGCTATAGGGGTCATATAGATGTCAATAAAAACACAGGTCTCTGTCTGAAAAGTCACACCAACAGCCAAAGAACGTGGTTCTGACAGTACAAACCCAGACCCTGTTGCTTTAGCCCTTCCCCATACGTACTTTATGCCACACTCCCCTTGGGCCTATAATGACATAAATGTAGAAAGGAGACTCACATCGTCCAATAATTTGCTTCCCTCTGGATCCATCTTAGAAAGTTCTCGAAAAGCTTCATCACCGACAAAGCAAATTTCGTGTCCATCCTGTATCAATAAAGACAAAAGCATTTGCCAAAAACCATCTCTGAAGAAAGCCCTGAACAGCCTGTCTCCCTGCTAAGTAATACTCACAGGGTCAGCCAGAATGACTACTTGTACTGTTGCCTTCCCAGGGGTATCCAGACTCACTAGGGGAGTCAGGATCTGCTGCTTCTCCCTTTTCATCAAGTCTTCTAAGTCTGGCAACTTGAGGAAAACAAAAAGGCAAGGTGAGCAAGGGTCACAGACTACTTTTATGGCATGGTCCTAAATAATGCTATTGAGGCACTATTGGTCAGAAAGAACCAAGGCACCACTTGTTTGATTTTATTATCTCTGTGTTCTTGAACTTGATAGCAAAGCCACAACCAGAATGAACCTATAGAAAGCAAGGGCAAGGTTCTCAGCTGAGTTGGATTAGCCAGTGACAAAGCTTATACAAAGACTGGGTTATCAAACATTACCTCTTTCTGGGGACAAGAAAAGGCAATTCTTCCAAAAGCTGCTGCATGATCAACTGTACCCTTGATGCCCTGAAGCTCCAGCTTACACTAAAACGAAATAAGAAAGTGGGCACAAGCTTTCAGACAAGTTATACATACATGTAATAAATAACTCAAACAGAATTAAAGGAATAAAGCAAAAGCCAAGTATCCCTCATTCTTCCAACCCACAGCCAGCCAACCAGCAGTTTCCTGTGTATCATGCTAGACACACTGCATGTGTGTATATATACACATTTTTTACACAAATGCCAGCACAAAATATTCTATTCCTTATTCTTTTCCAGTTAATATTACTACACTAGTACATAAAGACTTGCTCAGTCTTTTTGGATAGCTGCAAAGCAATCCATTCTATAAACAAACCATAAATAACTGAAATATTCCTCTAATCCACTAGACACAGAGGTTCTTATCTTTTGCTAATACAAACAATGCTACAACAGATTAATTGATACACATCTTATGATGAGTTTATCGATAAAATACTGTCAAGGAGTAGAATTTCAGGGACAAAGCACAAGGACTAAATCAGGCTCAAATGTTAGGTTACTAAAAAAGCATATACGCCAGACAGTGGGGGATCACGCCTGTGATCCTAGCTACTAATGAGGCAGAGATCAGGAGGATTATGGTTTGAAGCCAGCCCAGGCAAAAGAAAAAAGCAAAACCCAATCTCAAAAAATACCCAACACACATTAAAAAAAGGACTGGTAGAATGGTTCAAGTTGTAGAGCATCTGCCTAGCAAGCTTGAGGCCCAAGTTCAAACCTTGTACTGAAAAAAAAAAATGTATGTCATACATTAAATCTATTAAATCATGTCTACATCTCTTTTGACTAAGCAATTCCACTTCTCTCTCTCTCTCTCTGCTGGGTATTGAATCCTGGACCTCATGCATGCTAGTGAATAGGCTAATACCCCATTCACTTCTAAAAGGATATATCCTCAAACAGAAGCAAAGTTAGTATCTGGTGGTAAGATTATCACAAATTTTTATTTTCTTCATTCTGTTTATCTGTGTAAATACTGGCTCACTGTAAAGAAACTATAAGAACAACCTTCATGCTAACTTCATTTATGAGCCAAACTCAAAGTAACAGATAAGTTCTTTCTTCCCAAGATCATTCACCTGGTTATCAGCATAGCCCAGCAAAGCCCTTTGCTTCTTTTCATCATGTTCATAAATTTTCATGCCCAGTAGATTAGACCAGTAGTTCAAGGATTTCTGAAGATCAGACACTGCTAGAGTTACTTTGAATACAGGATCTTTAGGGTTTAAAAAAAACAGCAGAAATAGTTCCATCAGTTCAGTGGAATATAATAAAAGGACCAAAACAGACTCAAGCATTTGTAAGAGTTTAGTTTATAAGACTGGGATGTAGCTCAGTGGTGGAGTGGCCTAAGGTTTGATTCCCAGTATCCCCTACCTCCCAAAAAACTTACTATGATAAGGACTTTAAGTCAGTATGAACAGGGATATTATTCAATGAATGACAGTAAGATAATCATGGCGAGAAAAGCTACATATTAAAATGAAAAAGCACAATGCATTCCTGAAGGGTTAAAGGATTAAGTTTAAGAATGAAACCAAGTTAGCGCTGGTGGCTCACTCCTATAATCCTAGCTACTCAGGATGCAAAGATCAGGAAGATCAAGGTTCAAAGCCAGCCCAGGCAGATAGTTAGTGAGACCCTACCTCGAAAATACCCAACATAAAAAAGCAGTGGCAGAGTGGTACAAGTGGTAGAGTGCCTGCCAGTACCACCAAAAATAACATTAAAAATACTTCTCTAACCCCAAATTATATAATCATTCACTTATTCACCTATATTTAGTATTTCCTTGGTTTCTCATTTTTTTGGGGTGGGCAGCAATGGGGTTCAAACTCAGGGCCTCACGCCTGCTAGGCAGGCACTCCCACTTGGGCCACTCTGCCAGCCCTTCTTTGTGTTGGGTATTTTCAAGATAGGGTCTCTCGAACTATTTGCCCAGGCTGGCCTCAAACTGTGAATCTCCTGATCTCTGTCTCCCGAGTAGCTAGGATTACAGGTGTGAGTCACTGGAGCTTGGCTTAAGATTTTTCTTTAAATCCTACACCAAAGATAGAAAACAATGAAGAACAAAAGTCTGTTAGGTTAATTACACAAAATGGAAAACTCCTACACAACAGCAGTCAAAAAAACAATTACAGGCTGGGGGTGTTGCTCAGTATAAAGTATTTGCCTAAATGCTCAAGGCCTTGGGTTGGATCCCCAGCACTGAAGGAAAAAAAAAGATTTGCAATGTACAGGAACAAAGTCCTTAATATGTAAATCACTTTGAAGTATTCATAGAAAAAAAGATAAACATCCTAGAAAAATTGACAAAAGGCACAAAGTGAGCCAGGCACCAATGGCTCACTCCTAGCTACTCAGGAGGCAGAGATCAGAAGAATGGCGGTTCAAAGCCAGTCTGGGTAAATAGTTCCTTCAGACCCTAACTCAAAATAAAACCCCATCACAAAAAGGGCTGGTGGAGTAGCTTGAGATGTAAGCCCTGAGTTCAAGCCTCAGTACTGAAAACAAAAAAGGCACAAAGTGGTAACCCACAAAAAAAGAAACGAACAGTCAATGAACATATGAAAAACTATTCAAAAAAAAAAAAAAGAAAAACTATTCAAACTCACAATTCAAAGAAAATATCTGTCAGGTAATTTTATTAATTTTTCATTATCATTATTTTTTGTTTTGTTCTCTTGGCAAACAATTTTAAAAGTTAGCAGTGTTAACTGTTTTAGTGCAGGGAGTGAAATCACAATCATATAATAGTGGTAGAGTACATTTCTGGGCAAGGATTTGAGAGAATGTATCAAATGCTTTACAAATGTACATTGCTGAAACAGCAAGTCCGTTTTCAACAATTCAAAAAGTAATTATGGATGTATGACGAGCTTTCAACACAAAGGCATTCATCACAGTGTTTTCCAGAACAATGAAACATTAGGAACGACATAAATATACAATACAGAACTTCTTATTTTCCTACAATACAATAGAATTCCTGCAATAGCTTATAAAGAGCTATATATTTAATTATATATGTTTTTTTGGATAAAGGATTGGAAAGATAACAGTCAAAAATGTTCATAGTAGGTACCTCTGGACATAAGGGTACTGTTTTCTGTGTGTGTGTGTGTGTGTGTGTGTGTGTAAGGAAAAAATCTATTATTTTGTAAAGGGAATAAAAGTTATATTAAAACATGTAACACAGGGCTAGGGATGAAGCTCAGTGGTACAGTGTGTTTGGCATGTTAGAGGTCCCGGGTTCAATTCTCAGCACTAAAAAAAAAAAAACAAGCCCAAAAGAGAAAACAACTAAGCCAGCACTGGTGGCTCACCTCAGTAATCTTAGCTACCTGGAAGGCTGAGACTGGGAAGATCATAGTTTGAGGCCAGCCCAGGCAAATAGTTTGCGAGAACCCAGCTCCAAAACAACCAAAGCAAAATGGGCTGGAGGTGTGGCTCAAGTGGTAGAGTGCCTGGTTTGCAAGTTCAAATTGCCCTTGAACCTACCAAAACCAAAACAAAATAACATCTAACATTAGTGGAAATGCTTTCTACTGTAAAGTGACTTTCTGAAGTGCTATTCCACACTTACAGCTGACTATGACAAATTCAGTATATTTTCCTTTGGTTTTCTGCCTTAATTTCCTGTCTTTCCTGCCTTAATTCCACTAGCTAGAATAGCAATGCCATGACTAAGCTAAGGTGTTCTTTGCAACTGCCTCCTCCTGCAGACTTGATTTTAGTTTTCTCCCTTGATTTCAAAATCAACAAATCTCAGTTGATTCAGACCCTGAAGGGATGCTGGGACAAGTGGGTGAAAGTACACAGGAGTAAGTGATTCAAAGGAAGATGGATGCCAGCTAGACTGACAGATTTGACTACATTACCAACAGGAAAGGTATTATCATTGCAGAGAACAAAAACATCTTAAGGTTGTGGAGCTCTCCATTATTTTAAATCCAGGATGAATATCCCTTACATGAATTGCTTGGGACCAGAAGTGTTCAGGTTTTAGAAAGTTTGCATGGACTTTACTAGCTGATCATCCCTAATCCAAAAATTTAAAATCTGAAGCTCACTGAGGAGTGACACTGTGCTCAAAGCATGGTATTTAGATTTTGGAGCATTTAAAATTTTTGGAATAGGGATGCTCAATCTGTACTGAAGTACTAAAAATGTACTTTGGAGTTGGCTGCCTCAGTTGAATTGCCTATCAACAAAAACAACCATAAAAATCTCATAAGGCACCAGAGAAGTACAGAAATACCATTTCTCAGTTAAGTCCCACACAGATAGTCTAACCTCCTGCATCAGAATGGATTGGTCTTTTTTTTCTTGCTGAGCACCAGTTGAAAACAAGTCACATTAAACACTATATTAGACTCTATGTGGGACCCAAGGGAGATCAGTGGAAAGAAGAATAGTGTGGTTTCCACCTCAGGTCACAGACAGGCACATACTCACTGTGAAATGACAGGCAGAATGTCCTTCCTTTTCACCAGCATTTTACCTTTTTATGCTTTTACTTTTGTTTTGGCAAAGAGGCAGTTATTTTCAGGGATTTAATATACATGATGAGTCTGCCTCTCTAGTGAACAAAATGCACCCAGTGAAGTTTCTTTCTTGCTCTGTGCGGGCAGTCACTGTGATGCGCTGACTTTTGTTCCATTCTTCATTCTAAGGACCAACACTGGAGTTTGAACTGACCTCAGGTCAAGGGGTGTGACTAATTGGTCTAAAGATAATCCTATTTCTCTTGATAATGATTGCTTTGGGAGCAGGCACAGTGCATTAATTCTGACAAGCAAGTGAGCTGGAAGATTCCAGAAAAGTTTTGCTGTGTTCTTTAAAAAGAGCAGTAAGCAGTCAGTTCCCTGTCTGCTATTCAAAGTGTATTTGGGAGCATGTAGCCCCAACTTCTACTGGCAGCCACCCTACACTCATGAAGGGACTAGCTCTAGAAGAAATATGTGAAGGATAATAGAACATAGAAAAATTTGGGGTTCTTTATACCATGGTTGAGCTGATGAATCAACTAATCCTGAATCTTTCCTACCTGTAAAATAACTGCTCTGCCAGCTAAAAAAATTTTTAATTATTGAACTGGGGATGTCACTCAGTGGTACGGTGGTTGCCAAACAGGTGGAAGGCCCTGGGTTCAATCTCCAGCGCACTGTTGAATTTTTTTTTTCTTATTATTTAATCTAGCTTGATTTGGATTTTCTGTTATTTGCAGCTGAAAGAGTCCTAAATAGTTACACTATCAGTAAAACAGACCAGTCTACATTCCCTGTTCTAACAAGAATAGAATTTCTCAGAGAACAGGTAGGAGCACTGGCTTGGCAAGGACATGTCCTGTCAATATAGAAACTCTAATAGAGAAAGACCTCCAGTGCCCTCTGTCCTTCAACCAAAGATGCCTTTGTATAGGTTTTTATTAGTCCTTGTGTAATTACCTGACTGAGGTAGGCTGTGATTCTCCAAATAGAACTTATATCCTCCTGGAGCCTCAGTTTCAAAAATTCCTTCTGTGACTTCATTGAGTGGCCACTCCAGCTTCCTGGCATTGCTGACAGCCTGGCTGGAAGCAATCGTGATTCCCTATAATAACAACAATAACACCCACATATACAGTCACAACACATCTTTTACAGAACAAGATTAGGAGCCAAAACCCCATTGCCATTAGTTCAAATCACCTAAGAATTCATTGGCATTCAGAACTTCTCCTCCAGTGATTTTAAAGTAGTGATTTTCTCTCATAAAAGTTCAGATCTTTATGAATCATAGGACAGAGATTCAAATGTCAATGAGGCTCACACCACTTGATACTAAAGGTAATCTCTTTGCATTTTCAAAATCTAGGGCTGGTGACATGTCTTAAAAATCTCAAATTTCCACAAACTAGTCAGAGAAATTTTAATCTTACCTATCTGAGATGATGTTTTTATTCATTTTTTTTCTTGTGATGCTGGGGATCAAACCCAGGGCCTTGCACATGCTAGGCAAGAATTTGTGATGCTGGTTATTGAATCCAGAGTCTTGTGTGTGCCAGGCAAGTGCTGTACCACTGAGCTATGTTCCCAGCCCTATTTTTCCATTTTAAACAAAAAATTTTAACTCTAAAGGTACTCTAAATTTAATCCAAGTACCTAATAATGAACACTTCTGACTTCTGATGAGGCTAGCCTCATTTCTAGTGATTATTGTAACAGTCTCTGTTCTAATCCTGCCAATCTATCACCCACTCTGCAGCCAGAGTAAACTTTTCAAAAATGCCTCCTACAGCCTATTCTTAAGACATACAACCAGACCTTGTTTGTCCTCTGTTTAAAACCCTTGATGGCTCTTCATTTCACTTGGATGGGTTTTAGTGGCTCAATGCAATCCAACCCCATGCCACTCTTTTTTTTTTTGAGACAGTATCTCACTATGTAGCCCAGGCTGGCCTCAAACTCATGATTCTCCCGCCTCAGTCTCCCAAGTGCTGGGATTATAGGTGTGCACCATGTTCAGCCCCCTGCCACCTCTCTAATCCTATCTCCTGACATCTTCCTCTTGTCCTCTCTAGTCCAGCCACACTGGCTTTCCTGCATTTTCTCAAACATGCCAGGCACTGCTTGAGGGCCTTTGCGCAGGCTCTCTTCTCTGCTTAGAATGCTCTCCCTCCATATAGCCGTATGGCTAACTCCCTTACCTCCTCCAATATCACTGCTTCAAGGACATATACCATAATACCCTATTTCAAATTAAAACAAGCCACCACCTCAGCCAAAAATCTGCTGGGACAGTGGTATATTTACCATGAAGTCATTGCCAAGCTTGTAGTCTCCGATGCCATAATTGTATGTTAATTCTGCAACAAAATGATCGTCCTCAGGTCCAAATCCCACCATTGTTTTACTCCATTTCCCATCATAAGGCCTAGGAAAAGAGAGTAAATGAACCAAGGCAAAATCTGCTTCAGGCTTCCCCCAAAGACCTACTAGGCACAGTAAGGTGGGCAGTCCCTTCTGGTCCTACAAATTCTCATGAGGAGATGACCTCAGATGGTGCTGACAAGAGCTGTGGTCAATGCTCATGGGCCCCAACTACAGGCTCCATACATCATTTATTGGGCACTTTTTTCAGGGAAGCTTTGTTTACCTTTTCTTTAAATCAGGGAAAGTAATCCCAAAGACAGTTCTCCAACCTGACCTTATGTCTTTGCATATCAATTACAAGCATGAAAATCCTAATAGGCTTTAGAATTTTTCAACTTGCCACAGACACTAAGCTTAAGAGATACTTCATAGTCATTGCTTTAGCCAGAACATATATTTGTGTTTTGGTATAATATAAAATTTATTTGTTCTTTGCCGATTCTTGTAACAGAGCTCCGAAAACCCTTAGAATTTCCAGGTAGGAGTCTTTTGTAATTCATAATGAGCTTTCCCATAACACCTGAGTTTATAATAATGAGCTGACATAGGGTGAGGTCCCTAGATAGCCTTAGAACGGGGGTGGTTGCCAGAAACACCAAGTGATTAGAGAATTAGAACTTTAAACCCTCTCACTTCTGGGAAGGGAAGTAGCTACAGATTAAGCTCTATTAATCTGTATAAAAATTATTGAACATCTGGATTTGATGAGCTTCTGTGCTGAACACATGGAGGTACTAGAAGAGGGTCTACTCAGAAACAGCATGGAAGTGCCACCCCATCTCGTCCCCATATGTTCACTGTTCTTCTATCAGGCTCTTCCTGGGTTGTATCCTTTACAATAAACCAGTAAATGTAAGTAGAGTTTCCTTGAGCCACTCTAGCAAACAACTGAATGTAAGGAGGGGTTTGTGGGAATCCCCGATTTATAGCTAGTCAGTCAGAAATACCAGAGGCCTGGACATTTGAAGTGCAACAGTCTTGTGGGACTGAGGTCTTAACTTGTGGGATCTGACACTAATTCCAGGTAGATAAAGAATGGAATTAAATAGTAGGACATCTGACTGATTCTTAGAGTTGAAGAGTTGTTTGGTGTATGAGAAATACTGTTTAAGTCCAGAGAAACAGAAGATATTCCCCCAGTGTTCTTCAAGTTGCCTCCATTACTTATCGTTGCCTCCTTAATTTATCCCATTGCCTTATACTCGCTTTGACAAACTACCATCTGCTCTCTTGGGGGTATTCAGAGCATCAAGGTGATTTTAAGATACAAGGTATCATACCCATTACAGGCAGCTTTGCAGCCTTCTTCAAATTCCTCATGCCTAAGCACCTGGTAAAGGAATTAAAATAAATGTAAAGTTTTACTAGTACTGCACATAAACTAAAAGGTCAAAACATAGACATTATCACTTGTAAGCTTTAATAAAAAGGAAAGGAGATTTCTACCTAAGGAGCTGAGTAAGCTCCTTAGGTTTTGAGCCTCAGTATCCTAATACGTTGGTGAGAATGGGTAACCTACTGAAGCATCCAAGACAGAATGTAGATTCTCAATGTCTTAGTTTCTGTTTTCCTTTTTGATTCCCACTGTTACTATTGCTGTTCAAGCTCCCATCACTTCTCTCGAAGACTACTGAAAATATTAAGCTCTCCCTTCTTAATAATACTATAAAAGCATATCCCTATAGCACAGCTCTGATCACATCATTGCCCCATTCAAAATGTATGCAAAACCAGGAGTGATGGAGCATGTCTGTAATTCCAGCACTCAAGACCCTGAGGCAGGAGGCAGGAGGAGTCTAAGTTCAAGGCCTGCCTGGGCTAAATAGTGAATTCCAGGCCAGGCTGGATACTATCAGAAGCAATCGCAACCTATTTGCCCTGATATTCCATCTCTTCAATTCCAAACAAGTAACCTTAGCTAAAGACACATAAAATTAGTGGTGTTCTTCAATTATATTTTTGCATCACCTATTCAGTTCTTTTTTTATAACTCTTTAATTTTTTTTTGTGTGTGTGGTACTAGGGCTTGAATTCAGGGCATCGTGCTTGCTGGGCAGGTGCTCTACCACTTGAGCCATGTCAATTCTCTTTCCACTAATCTTCATCTGTAGAAATCTTATTTTTACAGGTCAACTCAAATTCAAAGTATCTGTGAACTTTCCCCAGATACCCAGGTTGGAAAAAGCTCTTCTGTGTTTTTATAATAGCAGCTAACACTGATAGAACACATACTACTTATGGATCAAATACTATCTATATAATAACATGTTTAATCTTCACAGCAACATTTGGTCAATAATGAGAGGTTTATGGTTTTCTGCTATCATTTATCAAATTCTGACTTCCATCACTGTCACTATGCACAAATCCAATTCCCATCCCCAATCCATCCCAGACCAGGAGCTCCAACTGAGGACAAATACTAAGGTCATTTATACCTTTGTTGCCAAAGCTCAACACAGAACTCTGAAACAGCAGGTATTTTTAAAATAACTGATGAATTCATGTAACCTGCTACATCCTCAGTACCGTCTCCACAGTAAGCTGTACAATTGTTCCTGGAAAACCTTCCTAACTTGTGTGTTCCCTAACCCCTGGCTTAGCAGGGACTCCCCCAATAACTTTCACTTGCGTTTTCAGCTAAGTGCCCCCTGTAGAAACACAGCTTCTCAGAGCTGGGGACAGGCCTCTTCGGGTGCTGGGGAGGAGAACAGACTCTGACCTTACACAGAGATCTGGAGATTTACCCAGAGATTGCGTATCTGAAAGAGACCATCCAAACCACCCCTGACAGAACGTTGAATCTAAACAGAAAGGCTCCAAACTTGATGAGACTGCGTTATAGTTCATTAGCAGAGCCTTAGATACTTTTTTGCTTGTTTACTGTCCTTCCCAGCAAACTGCGAGCTCCCCGAAGGCAGGAGCGCAGTACACATTTATAAATGAACTTAAGTGAAAGAACACGCGAAAACACATAGCTGGCACGTCGATCCCCTTCCAAAGGCTGTCTAACCCGTGACCAGGGACTCGCAACTTTCCTGAAGCTGAAAACCCTGTAGTGCCAATGGGGAGTTTGTAGGCCTGAGGCCGGACGCCCCGTGGCTGAGGTTCACGACACACCCATTTCTCCCCCTGTCCGCCAGGCTAGCTGCGGGTTCCAGCTTGGCGCGCCCGCCCTTGTCAGCGCCCGCCTGCACCTTCATCCCCAAGATGTCGCGGAAGAAACGCGCCGTCTGGAAGCGGTTTCCCACTTTGAATACGAAGTGCAGAGCTCTGCGAGAAGCCATGATTTCCAGCACCAAAAGCGACGTCAGTCAGTTCAACAACGCCCCGCCCACAGACGGCGCGACGGGCCCGTGACGTCACTAGCCATCGACGGCGCGCTTTCGTGACGCAGCGAAGATGGCGGTGGTGGCAAAGGGCATGTGGTGTACTATGAGACCGCTGCTGCCGGTGGTCCAGATTTGGGACCTGGACGCACGGCGCTGGGTCCGGACATTGCGGCGGAGCCCAGTAAAAGTGGTGTTTCCATCCGGGCAGGTGGTGGAACGGAAGCGTCCTCCCGAGAAGCAACCCCGCAAGGCGGCGTCTGAGGCCAGTAGCCTGGCGCAGAGACAGAAACCACCGCATCAGACGGCTCCATCCCAGACCCCTAGCACCTGGGAAGAGGCAGGGCTTCGCTACGATAAGGCTTTTCCTGGGGACAGGAGACTGAGGTGATGTTCCGAAGCTTGTCTACTATTCGCACTTCTCTTCCTGCCTCAGCAGGACCTTAACCTCCCCCGATGGAGTTCTTCCAATACAACGCCGCTGTTCCTTAATTATTTTTATTTTGCAGAATAAGTGTCTTTGGAATTTGTTTCTGCCTCTGCGAAGCTCTTTGAGTCAGTTAGAGCTAGATTTGTCTCAGTGACAAGTATTTTGGTATTCACCCATTTTTTTGTTTCCATCCACAGCAGTGTAATGACAATCGTTAAGTCCAGGCCATTTCGGGAAAAGCAAGGGAAGATCCTGCTGGAAGGTCGCAGGCTGATTGCAGATGCTCTCAAGGCCGGGGCTGTGCCAAAAGTTTTTTTCTTTAGCCGTCTGGAATACATAAAGGAGTTGCCCGTCGATAAGCTGAAAGGTGTCAGCCTCATTAAGGTGAAATTTGAGGATATCAAGGATTGGTCCGATCTAGTAGCGCCACAAGGAATAATGGGTCAGTGGTTATATTATTGTGTCAGTAGGTGAAGAGACCTAGAATTTTTTGTTCATACTTGACTTAAGGCAACACAATTTATATAAACAAAACTCAAAATGTTACTGTCTAATCTTAACACATCCATAGAAATACAGTACTCAAGCCTGTGCATCATATGGTATTTCCAGTGGAAACTGAAGCCAGTATTGTGGCTCTTCATAATCTCTAGAAAGAGCCACTGTCCTTCAGACTTTGTGTTTTTTAGGTCATTTCTTTAATGTCAATAAAAATTAAGAAAATTTTACTGAAAGGATTGGCTCTCCATTCCCACAAAACTTCTGCCAATATGGTGATAACTGTGCCTCTTTAACCCCGTTATTCCAGAAGCACAAATAGAGTCTAAAGAGTGAGAACTGTTGCAGTTTATTGCCCCCGGGACAATTGGGAGTCTTTCTTCATATGGTTGAATTTAACGTGTAAGGACATGGATCCCCATGACTCACTGGGTAAGAGACAAGATAGTTTCCTAGAACCTCTTCTCCCAACAGATGACTGCACAGTTCAAGGATGGAATCACAACAGTGAGCCCCCAACAGGGAATGCACATGGTATAACTGGTAGGGTGAACCTCTAAGGCTATCTTAATTTTGTTTAAAAAAAGTTTGTCCCCTTTTTCCAAAATACTTTCCCTGAAACTTTGCAAGCTGGAGAGTACAAGGTAGAGATTATTAAGTAAGGAGAAATTTTTTCATTAAGAAAGTCACTTTGGGTTTTCACTTTTCCAGGTACTTCCAAGTCTTTGTATTCCTTTGTATTAGACTGAGAATAGAGAGATGATGCGGTAAATACAACTGTGCTTGGTCTAAAACTGCCAAGCTTGTGGACCTTCAGCATGCGGACTGAAGAGACTCAGTTCCTTATTACTCAGATGAAGGCCCCTTCATTCTGTGGCCTTTCAGAGTATGTCCCACAGATGTTGCTTCTGGGCTGGGGTATTTGAAAAAGGAGACATTACTTTAATACATTTGAGTTTTTGAATTCAGATTCTTTTTCCTAGGAATATATGCTTAATTTTAAAATGAGCAGTAAAGGAGATGATATTTCTTAAGTCAGAATATAGATGACTGATGATTGCTGTTTAAATATTTAAATTAAGCCAACAAATTATTTAAGCAGCAGCAACAACAAACCCACCCAGTGAGAAAACGGAGCAGTGACAATTCAGAGAAAACAAAAATGAAGGAACTAACAGAAGAGGGTCACAAATGCTCAGTTGTCTTGAAAAGATGTTCAGCTTCCCTAGTAATCAGGGAAAATACAAATTTTTCTCCATCAAAATGGCAAAAATTGAAACAAATAAACCCTCTGTTGACAAAGGGTTTGAGCTGAGAAACAGGCATTTATGTATTCAGCTGTGAATGAACCATAATGAATTTTGGTGCCATTTGTTAAGTGCGCACACTGTTTATCCATTTCACTTACAGGTATTTATCCTAGAGAAGTTTTCAGACATAAGCATAGAGTCCTATAGGGATATTCATTGTAGCACTGTTTTTAATAGGGACCTTTGAACTGTCAGTGGTGAAAGAGATAACATGTAGCAGTTAGAAGAATAAGGTAGCTCCAAATGTACTAACATGCTAAAGTTTTTCATCACACTTTATTGAGCAAAATAAGTACATTATAGAACAATATAAAGGTTTTGTTGTGGTTGCAGTGCTAGGATTGCGAACCTAGGACCTTGAACATGCTAGGCAAGCATTCTCCCACTGAGCTACATCCCTAGCCTTTAGTTTTTTGAGACAGTCTCGCTTTGTAGCCCAAGTGGCCTCAAGCTCATGAGCCTCTTGCCTTAGCTTCCAGAGCATTAGAATTAACAGATATGCACTACCATGCCCAGCAGAGTGGTTTTTGTTTGTTTTTTAATGTTGAAAAAGCACTGTATTTGGGTAGATGTACCTATATGTAGGTAAATGCATGAAGTTCTGAAAGGATACTCTACAAGATGGGAAGCAGACGGGGCACTGGTAGGATTTTATGTTGTTTGATTTTTTTCAATCAGAAAGTATTCATATATATCCTGTGGTTGCAGGGGTTCATGCCAGTAATCCCAGCTATACTGAAGGTGAAGATAGGGAAGGATCGAGCTTCAAGGCCAACCTGGCAAAAAGTTATCAAGATCTCCCCTATATCAATCAATAACCTGGGTATGGTCATGCACAGCTGTGATTCCAGCCATGGGTCTGAGGCTGGCCCCCGGGGCAAAAACTTGAGACCCTACCTAAATAATAATAATTTTAAAAAAGGGTTAAGGGTGTGGCTCAAGTGATAGAGCACCTGCCTAGCAAGCATGAGGTCCTGAGTTCAAACCCCAGTATCACCAAAAAAAAAAACCTATGAAGAATTAAGTAGATGAAAAGTCAGACTTATTCCTAATGTCCACAAAAGACAAATGAACCTTCTGGGTTGTTTCCACAGGGATTTTTGCCAAACCTGACCATGTTAGGATGACATATCCAGAGACTCAGCTTCACCATTCCCTGCCCTTATTGTTGATTTGTGACAATCTCCGTGACCCTGGGAACCTGGGAACAATTTTGAGATCTGCAGCTGGAGCAGGCTGTAGCAAAGTATTACTCACCAAAGGTAAGAGCACTTATTACCAGTTGGATTGGCTGGCCATTTCTATGTAAGCTAGAGGGCTGAGCAGTCATGTACAGCTGAATGTTGAATCTGTCCTTTGTAGCTATTTGTCCATAGTAATATGCTGAATGTGAGTTCCCTTGTGTAAAGTGGAAATAGAATCTTCTTCATAGGGTTATTTTGAGATTTACTTAGATGATGCAAATAAAGTACTTTGTACCATGCCTGGCACAGTAAGTACTGCAATTGATTATCTTTTAAAAATATTTTGAGACTTAGTAGGTCATTAAAGAACTTTAAATCAGTCAGGGTAAAGAAATAGATGCCAGTTTTTTGTGATGTTTTTATTAGCATATATAATTGTATAGATGCCCATTTTAACACTTGGTTTCAGGTCCTATATTTAATGATCTTGAGTTCCCAGGTTGTTAGGTATATGAGACCTTCCTAACCTTTGAGTTCTGAATCCTATGAAATTTGCTGTCACCAGATAGTGGTTATGCCATTGTGGTACATTTCTCTTAGCCTTAGGGAAATGTAGTCACATAAGCCACACACAAATTAGCCTCATTACATTTCTGTCTCTTCTCCCCAGAAGCAGGGATTAATAGGCTTGGTTCTACATAGACTTGCCAAACAGTTGGGGCATGCCTAAAATGCCTGTTACACCTTGGGAGTGGAGGGGAGGGAGAGTGGCATTCATCAGAAACACCCAAGCTACTATTAAATATAAATTAATAGTGGCAGCTGTTGCTGAGACTTGCCTAAATTGCTCCTTCCAGCTCTTCCTGGAAATGCCCTGTTGGAGTAGTTCTCTCCTGGCATGAGATCCAGGTGCTGGATTCACTATCACTGTCCCACTTACTCCATTGTTGAGTGCTCTGATAACAACTGTAGTTTTGGAAATGTGTTTGTGTAATGCTAGCAGTGTGATTTTCACTTGATATTGGCAACTGGCCTAAAAGAAGTAAGAAAAAGACTAAGAAACATTTGATGTGGTGTCTAGTGTCAAGGACATGAGGAGAGAAGTCTTACCTTTTCCTTACTCCCTGCTAGGCAAAAGGGATAGACTAGACAGCTCCTCTCACAAATCTGGGCCCATCTTTTTGTCCCTTTCCCTCCTCTCTTGGCCTGTAGTCCAGCTCCCAACTCCCTCTGCATGGGAAAGCAGATGGTGGAGATATGTGTGGGCACTCCATGTCTTAATCTCCTTTTTAAGTCTGGTTTGCCTAGTTAATCTATCCTAGGTTTGATGGTTATCCTAAGATAACTTGTCACAGGGAGACTTGTGCTGGGGGTGGATAGCAGGTATGCAAGGCAGTCATGGTATGGTACCCTGTTTGTACCATCTCTCCCAGCTTGCCCATGGTGAGAGTAGACACTGGGAAAGGTCAAGTGTCTGCCATGTGGCCAGTGCATAGGAGCAGTTTAGGCCTAGATATGACTGCACACAAGAGTAGGTTTATCTGGCCTTAACTGCCATGTGAAAGAGGGACTGTAGGAGCGACAGGGCCACTGCCTGGGTTTGGGCTCCTAATTCCCCCTGGGTTGCTGCACTTGCTTTCTACCTGATATCCCCATTTCTAGTGTGGGGAAATCTCTGCTCCAGTCCAGATTGAACCTTGAAGCCATGTGGGTCTAAAATATGAGTCACGTTCCCTCAGTTTTGCTTAAAAATCCTTTGGCGATGTTACAGTTTCTGATAAAATCCCATACTCCTCAGTTTAGTGTATTCAACCTCCTTTACGTTGCTTACTGCCTGCCTCCCATTTCCTCTCCCACCACACCCCCAACCCTACCCACCTGCTTGCAGTTCTTAGACTGTGGTTCTCTGAAAGGCCTGGGCCTTTCTCTGACAAGATCCTTTTATCCTCCAGGAGCCACCTCAGGGTCACCGTCTTTAGGAAGTTTGGTATTTTTCCTCAAACGTCCGCTTTGCACAAGGACTTTCTTTTAGTCTGTTTGTACTTCTTTTACATCATTTATCACTAATAGTGTAATCATCTGAGTAAATATTGTCCCAGACCAGCACCTATTCTACTCTGAGAAGTTGGGGGTATTGTTTTAATTCCCATTGCATCCCCTCTACAATGTCTGGTGCTTAAGTAAGGACAGTGTTGACAGAATGAAATTGTTTTTAGCACTAGCAGGGAGCAATCCTTTGCTGGACACAGAGAGGCTGTGGAAGGTCCCAGCTCTAAAGAGAACTTTAATGGGAAAACTTTTGCTTCATCTCCTGGTCTGGAATTAATTTGATTTATTCTTATGGCTCTTCAGTCTGGGAAGGCATATAAAATCATGATTGTATCCTCTCTATTTTTTAGGCTGTGTGGATGCCTGGGAGCCCAAAGTGCTACGGGCAGGCATGGGAGCACATTTCCAGGTGCCCATTATCAACAATCTGGAATGGGAAACAGTGCCCAATTACTTGCCCCCTGATACCCGGGTCTACGTAGCAGACAACTGTGGCCTCTATGCTCAGGCCCAGATGTCTAATAAAGCCAGTGACCAAGGCTGGGTGTGTGATCGGCGATTCCTGAAGTTTCACAAGTTTGAAGAAGAGGAGGAGGATTGTGTAGACATCAGAACTGGTAAAGACTGGTTCCCTGAACTTGAAGTCCAGAGTTACGACTTGGACTGGACAGAGGCACCAGCAGCTGTGGTGATTGGTGGGGAGACCCATGGCGTGAGCCTGGAGTCCCTGCAGTTGGCTGAGAATACTGGGGGCAAGAGGCTGCTGATTCCTGTTGTGCCTGGTGTGGACAGCCTGAACTCAGCCATGGCTGCAAGCATCTTGCTTTTTGAAGGGAAAAGGCAGCTGCGGGTAAGGGTGGAACACTTAAGCAGAGACAGGAATTAACACTGGGATGACACAGAAGTTCTCAGGTGGAGGATTCCTGCAACTCCTCCTATCTTGTACATTGTTAGGAGGCTGGCAGAATAGGAAACTGGCTTCCTGTGCCACACAGGACAGAGGAGGTAGGCATTGGTTATTGGGAAAATGAGAATTTCTGCTTTTCCTCATAAACAACAAAGGTCAAAATTCTTGTGATCTCTTATCTTTCCATCAGTTCTTAGAATATATCTCTTTTTCTTTTTTCTCTGTTTGTGATAACACAAATTAGGTGATCACACCGCTCTGTATATATAATTTTCAAATACTGTCTATTAGAGCTAGGAATGTGGCTCAGTGCTAGAGCTCTTGTCACTATCTGTGAGTCCCTGGGTTCCGTCCCCAGCACTGGAGGAAAAAACTGTTCCCTGAGGATCATTTTCTTGCCCAGAAAGTTCCTGAAGGCATCAGTCTTAGAGATGAGCATCCTTGGATTAGTGGTAGGTGTTTTGCATCATTAAGCACTGGTTACAGGTCATGCCAAGTCACCATGTCTGATCACTGGCCAATGGAAAATAAACTGTGAAGTATAGAATTGGCAGATTATATTGAACAGTTTTATTTAAATGCAGTCAGATATTAATAACCCGGGTGGATGAGTGCCAGAGATTGTGGAATTCATTAGCCACCTGTTCTTTGGCCTTGGATGTGTTGTCTCTGGGGCAGTTTGTTCAGCCCTTCACTTTTGCAGCCCCTGTTTATGTATATCCCCCCTTTGCAGATGAACAGTAGAAACAGTTAATTCATCAAGTGGTGTCCTACCTTCTTAGCACCTCTGCAAATATCTTTTTGAGGACTCTACAGAAAAAGGAAGAAACTTGAGTTTTCATATCTGCAGCTTAACGATGCATCTGTCAGAAGAATGTCACCCTTTTTATCAGCTCCCTGTTATTAGGTCCTAGTTTATGTAACACTTGATTAAATTGCTCAGGAAAATGCCAGTATTCCTAGATGATGTGTGAACACAGGTCTCCTGTGAGGTTAGTGTGGCTACTTACAGAACTATGCAGCACTCTCAACCCCCCAGGGGACCAGGGCAAGCTAGATCCTTACCTGCCAGGTGCTGGCCAGGATATAGTCGGAGGCAAAGGCAAATGCGGAGTGTGACCACTGTCTGCAAGTAAGTGTGGGAAGTGGTGGTTGCGCTGGAATATAGGAATTGTTCCACACTCTGCTTTTATAACCACAGAGAAGAGGGCTAGAGCTGAGGATGATGAGAGTGTGGCTGTACAGTCTCCTTATTACATAGAGTCCAGTGGTGATTTGGATTCCTTGGGATCCCTTTAGCTGTGCATTCAGGGAAGTTGAGTGAGTTGCCGGTGCGTGGAAGAGAAACCACAGGCTGCCCCCTTCCCATTCTGCTCCCCCGCTCCCTAGTAAAACTTCCTTTTGGGAGAACCAAATGGGCAAACATACTCCATGCCCCAAGTGGCAGGTGGCATTTGTTTGTCGTGTTTGAGGGGTTAGCTGTGTCATCCCAGGCTGACCAGCCTGAGCTACAACTTGGGTGTCCTGCTCTGGTCTAGCCCTGTCTAGGACTCTGCAAAAATGGTCTATGCAGGTGGCCCACAGATTCTTGCCACCCTCCATCCTCTGTTAGCTTTTAGAAAGTAGAAGAACTCAAAGTCTTTTACTTTACTGTTATCCACAAAGCCTGGAGCACCATCTGCAAATGTGACAGGAGCTGAAAAGGACTGCAGTGACTGTCACAGCAGGCTGGAAGGCAGCCCAGAGAATTCACAACTTTCACATCTGCTGACATTTAGTCTCCCCCTCAACACCTTAGAAAAGTGCTAAAGAAACAAGTCCCTAAAAGGAAGTCCGTGTCTTTCCATCATGAAACCAACTTCATGTAATTTGTGTCCCTGAACTGTGTTCCCACGGGTTTTGTTACAGAATAAAAATCAATGAAAAGCTAAGCACTGGTGGTTCACACCTATAATCCTACCTACTCAGGAGGCAGAGATCAGGAGGATCATGGTTCAAAGCCAGCCCTGGACAAATAGTTCATTAGATGCTATGTTGGCTGAAGTGGAGAGCACCTGCCTAGCATTCATGAGACCCTGAGTTCAAACTCCAGTACCGCCAAAAAATAGATCAAAAAGTCAATGAATAAACAAATCGTACACTTTATCCTGGAGAAAAACAGCAATGTAAAAACACTGGCAAACAACTAAGCTCATTCTATAATCCTGGCTGTAAGAGGTAAACAGTTTCCATGCCATTCTCTGTATAGCCAGTGCCTCCTACACAATGTGAGCTCTTTTGTATATCCAGATTATTCTGGGGTAGATGGAAGAGTGGCAGGGACAAATCATCCTTTTAAATGACTTGGAGCAAGTGGTGCTAAGTTCTTTCTGAATGAGATTGCAAAATCAATATCGTGAATTCTAAATTTTGAGGCCAACATTTGTTCTGTCACCATTTCCCCAGTAACTAGGAATAAAACAGTATTATATGACAAAAACACTGCTTGGCTGAAAGAAATGTAGAAATACTGGAAAGCACCCTGCTGTTGTGTTGAGGCCCAGGTATAGCAGTCTCTTCGGCCACAAGGTGGCAGACAAAGCCTCAGAATCCGCTCTCCAAGTTGAAGGCAGTCAGGAGTTTTCCTGGGTTTAAGTTGTTTCAAAGAGAAAAAGAGGGCTCAGGTGGTAGCATGCCTGCCTAGCAGATGCGAGGCCCTAAGTCAAACTTCAGTACCACAAAAAGAAAAAAAAAAAAAAAACAACAGAAAAAGTGGGCTGGGGGTAAGGATAGAGTCAAGTCTTCTGCCAAAGAGCATTTTCCAAGCTTGGGTCTCATAATATCGGCAGAATTAAGAGTCAGAGTCAGGACACTAGACCAAAAATGAGAGAAGAGACAGAAATGGGAAGAGGCAAAACAAGTGCCACTTCCCTGTAACAAGCCTCTGAGAGAACAGCTCTGGGTAGATGCTGATGTCCCAATGTGAGCGCACACATAGTCCTTCAGTTAGTGCAGGGCAGGGAGAGTGGATTCCCACCTCCACCCCCAGCTCCTGGTGAAAATTCAAGTCACCACAGGGAAACATCTCTGGACCTTTCAACACTTGCCCCAGGGATCATAGCACTCCAGTGTTACTTTCATCCAAGCAGAGCTGCATCTAGCTCCCCTGTTGTGACCCCCAGCACTCCACAGACACCAGAAACGGTACCATTCAGGGGCCCCTAGCTAGTGCTGAAGATCACCAGTTGCTCAGGGTCCAGGGCTCTCCTTTGCCCAGCTGCTCAGTGGAGCAACTCCACTTACGCTCACCTTGTTTTTTCAAGAAAGCACTCATGCTTTGCCACTTTGAAATTCCCATATCTTACTTCCTCCATGCATGCACCAATGCAATAAACTAGACACCAACTTAGTGGAGGAACCAAGTCTCTGAACACAGGAAGCATGTTATACCTGAACAGCTAAGATCCCCACCACAAGCCAAGTCCTCACTGGAAACCTCAGGGAGCATTTGAAACCTGACAGATGGACTAGAGGTGTGGCTCAAGTGGTAGAGTACCTGCTTTGCAAGTATGAAGCCCTGAGTTCAAACCCCAGTACCACAAACAAAAAAAAAAAAGAAAAAAGGGCTGGTGATATGGCTCAAGGTGTAGGCCCTGAGTTCAAACCTCAGTACCACACACACACAAATCCAACAGACAAGTATGGTTGAGAACTTGAATGTGTTCTGGATGGGATTGGTTCTGCGCTAACGCCCAATCCTGGGATTTCTTGGTTCAGCTGAAGCCAGCTCTTCGAAGGTTTGTCGGCAATGCTGCAACTTCCTCAAAATGAAAGGCGAGAACAGATGTGGAAGAGAAAGAGTGGTGGCTGTAGCCAGATCTGGTCTCAGGCTCTCTTGCTCTACAGGGGTGGGATGGGAAAGGAGGCACACATTCATTACAAGCTTGGTGGGGGCACTTGATTGATTGGGACCTCTGCATCGTCTTACAGCTACGAGAGACTGAATTTTTTTGGCTGTAGGTCCTAAGATCATGTCTCCTAGTGTCTTAGTTCTAGTTCACCTGATGGTCCTCTGTATGAGATACGAGCACCCAGGAATCAAGACTTGAGACTACTGCCGCCAGCTTGGGGTTGCGTGTCGGTCTGTAGAGATGTTGGCTCCATGAGTTGGCACTGTATTTAATGGAAACCAAACTGTCCCTCAGAATGAGTTCCACCCACACCTACTGACACATTTCCTGCCCTGGGAAGTAATCCAAAACACAGGGGTAAGCCACATGTATACCTTGAAAAAGGGAGTATACCTACTTCATCCTTTCATGGGTGAGGTGTGCCTAGGACATCATTATGCTCTATTTCTCTCAGTAGGAGAAATCCCACAAACGAAGCAGAACCAAAATGCAGTGCTACAGACAGACTTTTGTTTCTGGAAACTCTTTCATCACCACACATGCTTATCAGCCATAGCCACCAATATCAAGCTTGCAGTCAATAGCCATGTGATTTGTCCCCAAGAATCTTTCCTGCTTGGAGGAAACGGCATGCTCTTGTCCCTGTTGACATTGGCAATGAGGGATGTAGGTAAGGTGCTCACTTTAATACAACCATTTCAGGACAAGCTTGAAAGATCCTCATAGGCTCAGCGCCCTCAGGTCAGTCCTTGGCTCTTAAGGCTGTACCCAGAGGAGCTAGAGGGGGCACCCCTGAACTTCTGCTATCCCTGTGTATTGCCAACTCCAAGGTCTGTACCACTGTGGCATTCCAGGGCTGTTGGGCAAGCATGGGCCTGTTCAGACTGGCCAGAGAACTAGCACTGTATACAGAGTATGTCTGCCCTGCATGACTGGAACAGTGCGGGGCAGAAGCTCACTCAGGCTCTTCCCAGTACAGGGGTTTCTCTCTATGCTAACCAATGCAGCAGCATGTTAGGTCCCACAGCCTGGTCCAGGGCTGTCTCCTGCAGTCTGTCTCATTGCTGGATTCGGTTTGCATCCCTGAGCACGGCAGCAGGAGGGGGAACAGCTTTTTAGGGTCTTTAATTAGGCAACAGGAAAAAACAAAGTCTGGCTGAAAATTACCACTTGAAGCTCAACTGATGCAAAAAAGCAACGTTGGATTCCTGTGCTGGAATAAGTGACAGCCACTGATTGCATGGACAAGTGGTGGGAAGGAGGAGCAACAGCAGCATACACCCGACTTCTGGAGAGGAAGCTGATCACCATGCATCTCAATCACATGCACGGGTATTTTGGTTTGGTTTGCATAGTGGTAAGCATGGCATCCCCAACTTTGTCATGACAGAGAGACCCATGTGTGCTTCCCCGTGTTTCTGATGAAGCCTTCTCCAGGTTCAGTGCTGGAAGGAGGGAAAGAGCAAGAATGTCCATAGCAATTCCATAATCTGGAAATTCACCCTCCATCCAGTGCCAAGTCAAACTAGGAGATGTGGCCAGAGCTCCACAAGGGATCTGTGTCTGGCACAAGTAAACACGTTTCCTGCCTTCTGGAAACCAAGAAGATTTGACAGATGGCCCTATTTTTGTTTTGTTTTTCTTTTTTTTCCCTTTCAGTGCTGGGGATTGAACCCAGGGCCTTGTACATGCTGGGCAAGCACTTTACCACTAAGCTCTGTCCCCAGCCCCAGTTCTTGAGATTTTTGAAAATTCTGGAACAAAACTCCCAGAGGTTCTCTATGTCCTACTTTCCCACACTGCCCACCCCCAGTAAAGCATTCACGGGGAAAAGATTGTTGTTATTAAAGACAGGAAAGGCCAAGTGGGTGATAATGTCCAGAGATGCCTGCTTTATTTCTTTCTAGATGATTGTATTTCAGGTTGGCAACATCAAATAGGCTAATTACCAACTAATTTTGTACCTCTGAACTACAAATCAACAATCCAATTCAGCAAGGAATAACAGTGTCAACAGCTTATTGGGAAGAGCTGGGTTTTCCTAATAAATGGTTTTGGTTGGCAGAGCACTGAGTGGAGCTGAGGATAAGGCCTGGGATTGTTTAAAGCCCCTGACACCTGATTGAGACAGGCTAAACCTCTGCAAATCCCTAGACCAAAGCCCTTCACCCCAAATCCTAAGAATGTAGCTGGTGCTTCCCTTTTTGTGGTCACTTCAGTTCAAATAAGAGCCCAAGCTATCCAGGCCTAGCAAAGGAGATACAAAGCCTACTTGTAGTTGACATGCCCTCTGCCCTCACTTCTGCCCTTGGGCACAGCTCCTTCTGCAGGTTCTCAGGGAAAAGCTGGGCTCCTGTTAAATTCTTGTCATTTTTTAGTTCTGCTTTGGAAAAGAAAAAGAACAGGAGTAATGAAAGGGGGTGCAGGTGTCTCAGCAGAGGTCCAGTGGCCTCAGGCACAGGGCTGGCTGGGCATCACTCCTCTAGGAACCCAGGGCCAAGTTCTTGGGAAGATGTCCAAGGGGAAGAATTCAGTAACAAAATGCCAAGATACAGGAGCTGTCTGAGCAGGCAGAAACTTGGAGAAGGTCAAGAGCGAGGAAGAAAGAGATGAAAGAATGAAAAATTCTAATCACATGGGAGGAGCTTAATAAAAGTAAGCAATTACTATATGAACCATTTGCTTAGCTACTCATTTTTCTCACCACAACACCTTACATGCTTCCTTTTAGATTTGGAGGTTCCCCTGTCCCAGAACCCACTGACAAGCTGCTGTTTTTCCCTCAGACCAAGAAAGACCACGTCCACCTGCATGTATACATGATACCAAGCAGTTCCTTTCTAGCTGCTTTGGGCTCTGGGTGTGTGTGCTGACCCAATAGGCAGAGCCAGAGCCCCAGTCCACCATTCCTGCTTGCTTACTCTGCAGAAGAACACCCTGGCAGGTCCTTCACCAGGAGCTAGTGACCTGGATCTGTGTGGCAGTCCCAGGTCTGGCTGGTTATGCCATCCCCATGAATCCTAAGCAGTCCACAAACAGTGGGTTCTGCTGCTGCTGTGAGGAGGCGCACCCTCGGGTGCTAGCTGAGGAGTGAACGCAGAAACAAGGCACTGCAGAGAGGCTGGACACGCTGGAAAAGTCCAAGGGCTGGGGGGAGTAGGGGAAGAGGAGAAAACAGTCTTAAATACTGTCTCCGGAGGCTGGAGCCCCACTAGATGGGCTCTGGTTTGAGCTTTTCTGCTAGGAAGTCGTTCACAAAGGCCTCCACAACAGCAGGGGTGATCTCCTCCACATCCATCACATACTTGGCTCGGGCCGACATGTCCAGAATGGTGAGCAGGGGGGCAGCTTCAGGCAGGTTGGTGTAATCTCGCAGGGAGTCAGTCATGTCATCCTGGAAGTCACCAGAGAGGGAAAAAAATAGTAAGTTTTAAAAAAGAGAGTGTCTCTGGGCCCAGCCTCTCCAGGCAGCCCAGAAGAGGGACAGCGCTTTCATCCTGAAGGAGAGATGAGCTGTTAGCAAGGGGAGGAGGCTGCTTCATAAATTTCCCTCTGCATCCCCAAACCACCAGGCACGTCATCTTTCTTTATTAGCATGAAGGCAGCTTTAACATGCTCTCTGCTTTTTAAAAATGTGATGTCCTTTGATTACTTATTTTTCCAATCAGCTCTCCATTATTTGCAGTCCTGCTGTGGATTATCTGAGGCCAATTTGGACTATAACTCTGAGGTGTTTTTAAACAGAAATAATCACTGTCTCCCACATCCCAAATTCAAGGAAGGCAGGAGGTTCCAGTCAGACCTGGCTGCTTAAGCACCATCAATGTCCACACTGGTTTGCTGCATTTGTCTGAGAGGAAGCTGCCACATTCCCACGAGTTCCTAGCAGCTGTCCAGGTGAAATTCCCTTATGTCAGACGTTGCCTTATGCAAACACAGAGGCAAACCCAAACTGAAATACAAGGAAGAGCTTTTGTCAGAGAGCAAGGATTCAAGGTTCCCTTTCATACTATTGACCTTCATTTTGCAGATAACAGAAGATGCACTTTACAAATCCATCCTGGGGTTATTTCACTATAAAATTCACAATATTTAAACCCAATGAAAAAACTTGAGTCACCCTGCAGAAAAAGGGCCAGGTTATTCCTGTTTTTAAATGGGAGTGAGCAGGAGGCAGAATATTTACAGGTCACTAGTTTCTGAGACAAAAAAAAACATTACTTTCTCAAAAACCAAGGAAGACTGTTAGTGATGGTCTTTCTTCCTCCCCTCCCCCCCAAAAATAGCATGTCCTTCCCAGCAATGCTGGGTGCTTCAACATTGCTGGCACTTGATTCAGCCTCTCCACATGGATTAATAGAAGACCTTCATGGTAAATAGACACCTGGACAAATACTGGACCTCCCATTCCCATTAGGAGGCCAAGACCAAGCCAAACACTCTCCTGCCTTACCTCCCTGGCTCCCACTGGGAAACCACAGGGAGATGACTCTAATGTGCACTAAATGTTCACTAAGACTTCAACAGGATCAAGACAGAAAAAAGACATCTTCCTCACTCCTGGGCCAGAGTCCTGGGCTCAGTTCCCAGGCTCCAGCTCCCTGTGCCTGCCCCCTTTCTGTAGTGCTTGCTTCTGAGCATAGGGACAGAGACTGGACCAAGAAAACCACTAAGGCCAGGAGACTTGGTGAAGTGCACAGAAAGAACAGGCAGTCAAGTGGGGGGACTGAACAACAGAGGTGATTTTGTTCAGCTTTCTGGTCCAGGGAGCTCTCTCCTGCCCCTGCCTGCCCTCCCTCTAAGCATGAGCAGGACCGTTTGTCAGAGCACAGAGACAGAAAATGGATGAGCACTGTTCCTGGAGTCATAGTGACCTCCCGCCAGCCCGTCTTTGCTACCTACTTTCTGTATGACTTTGACAATGTACTTTGTCCAGCCCAGGTTCCATCCCCTGCCAATGGATTTAACAAAGGCTCCACGCACATGGGGCCGCTGTGAGGGTAAACCAGTGGCCAGCCCTCACCGCCCTGCCAGGAAGGGAGCCTCACTTTCCTCCTCTGTGAAGCTGGACAATGAGAGGTGAGGTACAAAGGAGAGGAGCAGGTGAAGCGCTTGGCTGGGTGCCTGGGATACAGAAAACCTGCAAATGTCTCTTTTCAGCTGTTTCTAAAGTCCCGCCCTGCCTGTGCTCAGCCCCTTCTGTTCTGCACCCATCTTTTTTTTTTTGGAACCATTCTCCAGAGGTTAGAGTTTTATAAATGCAGAGCAGCCCCGTGCGCTTTGTATGCAGCAGCTGGTGAGCCCCAGGCAGGGCCTGTGAACCCTCTTTGTTTCCCTCCACTCTGGGGCTGGGCAGGGCCACTGGAGTGGCCTGCAAGGGGCCTAGCAGGGCCACTAGGGGCAGCTACTGAGGAGGTGATGAATGGTGGCTCAGAGTCAGGCCTCTCCTGGGATCCAAACAGCGTGAAATGAGCATAGGCCCCCACCAACTGGAGGTACAGATGGGTGGATGAAGGGCAGGATTGGCCTCACAGTGTCTGTCAATGCTGGTGAGCATGCGTGGATGGAGGGGGCTTTTTGTGGGGAGTGAGAAGAGCACCTGCGCCACTGAATGTGGCCATCTTGCAGAACACAGGTGTCATGGTTGCAGGTCCTCAAACCTCAGGGTGATCAGTGACTGGTTCAGGGGGCTCCACTCAAGGACCCACCTTCTTACTCTGAGGTATGTCTCCAGCTTGGAGCACTCCACCAAAGGCCTTCCTGGGCCACAGCTTGGATGCAAAAGATTGGGAATGGCTGCAAATGCCAACCTCAGCATGCTCCCCAGGCTAGCTGGGTGACTGTAGGTGAGCTGTGACTCAAACCAGGATCCTTGTAATGGCTAAGACCACTTTTTGGGCTGGTGTAAAGGAACTAGCCAAGCTGGCATTTTGCAAAGAATAGGGGCCTGGCTCTGACCCAGCACTATAGGAATGAGGGTGAACCATGGATGTTTGTAACCGCCATTGTCCCCATTAGCTTGGATAGGCAATAGCCCTGGGGGACTGTCTTCCTATTCTGAGGCTCTGGGCCTCAGAAGGAAGGGAAGAAGGAGCTGCAGGGGTAGGAAATGGTTTACTATGACATGACTAATGACATACCTTTTCTTCCTCATATGTTTTTTTTTTTTTTGATCGGGTCTGGAGTTTGAACTCAGGGCTTTGTGCTTGCAAAGCAGGCACTTTACCACTTGAGCCATACCTCCAGCTCATTTTGCTCTAGTTATTTTGGAAATGGGGTCTTGCAAACTTTTTGCCCAGGCTGGCCTCGAACTGTGATACTCTGGATCTCAGCCTCCCAAGTAGCTAGGATTACAGGCCTGAGCCAGTGGTACCTGGCTACTTTCTTCATTTGTTGGTGACACAGTCAACTCAGACCCAGAGATCCCTTCTGACTTCCTTGAGGTCAGTAATACTCATGTCCTAAAAGTCCCCACCTGAGCCAGCCTCACTAGGGCCACCATACCCTCCTTCCACAACTCACCTCCCCGGCCACAAAGAACAAAAGTGGTGCCTCCTCCTCTTTGGCTTTGTACTTGGCAATGATTTTCTCAGCTATTGGCTGAATCAGCTGTTTGGCTGCCTCAGACTCTCCATCATCCTCAGAATCTGTGATGGGGAAAGAGAAAAAGACAAGCTGGATTGTCAGTAGTGGTACCCCCAAATGGGCCTGGGTCCTGGGCCTGAGCTGTGGAAATGCCCATCTGAGCAACCCCAGAATGGAAAAGAACTTCCTCTTAGGTAGGTCTAACTTCCTATGTGCACCAGAGTGTGTTGGCATACATGCACACATGTGTACACATGTCATATACCAGCAGTCAAGGAGCTCTCACAGCTTGCACAGTGCTTACCAGCACTGGGCTCTTACGAGGAATAACTTGACTCACTGAATTGTGCCAGTGTCCCTGGAAAACACCCTTTGTCACTGAACGCTTCACAAAGCCACCCTGGACAATGGGCTTTCCCCATAGCAGGACCTGAGGTCCCTGGTAGCTTTTCTCTCAATCACAGAATGAATAGCCATGACCTAGGACCTCTGGCTTATGGTGAAAATGGCAAAAGAACTGGCACTGAGAGGGTGAAGACTGTGGTCTGGTTAGCAGTGCTGATGCTGATGGGGGCACCACAGCTGCTGAAGTGCCACCTTCACAGCTGGCAGCCAGATCCCTGTAGGAGGGAGAAGGCTGTCTATGGAGAACACAGATTTCCAGATGGGAACAGCCACACATAGGGTCCCAGGCTTATGCTGCTTAAACCTGTAGCCAAGAGCCAGGACAACACTCCAAGTGACAAAAACAGGGGAGGGAACAGCAGGCTCCAGCAAAGAGAGATTCTACTCAGAAACACTGTAGCGCCCAAGAGCCTATAGTGCGCAGAGATCCCACACACTGGATCCCCATCTAATTCACTTTGTGATGGTACTCAACTTGCTTTGCCTCTCTGAGACACTGTTTCCACATTTCTGTAGATGGCCACAAGGTTCCTAATTGTCCCTGGGTTCAGAATTACTTCCCCATTGGCCTTAACAGGTAGCTGCATGAGTCCAAAGTCAGGCAAGGAAGATGTTCCAAGCCTCTCCACACTGGGCCTTTCTGCCCAAACCCAGCCCCAGCCCAGGCAGTTTGAAGAAGCATCCCCTGGGGTTTGCTTATCATCTTTCCTCTTGGGAACACCCAAACCATACCTCAGAGAATGGGGCAGGATGCTATACATATTCTCTGGCCCCTCTGAAGTGAGTATGGTGCATCTAACCCCTAGGTTTGAGTATAGCTGTTCAGCTAGAGGGGAGGGGAAGGCCAGGAAGCCCTTGCCCAGCAACTGCTCAGAATGCAAAAGCAATCTAGGCCATTCCCCCTGGACTGCAGGGGCCCTAGTGTAGAAGCATCAGGCTGAGCACAGCCACCCAACGGACAGGTGCAGTTGGCCGCTGAGTATGGAAGAGCCAGGGATGTGGCCAAGCCAGCTTTAGCAGCCCCTGGAGCAGTTCATCAAAAGCACAGGCAAGTGGCAGAAGCAGCCGGCTGAGCCTTGGCCTGAGGGGGCCCAGCCTCCCTGCAGCTGCTGTGTTAGCAGCGCCCAACCCTTTCCAACAATGGCTATGTTGGGGGTGGGGGTGGGGGGGCTGGGGCATCCTCCTGGCCTGACCTATTCTGCCCAGCTGGTAGCCAGGAGCAGTGAGGAAGGAGAGCAGAGCAGCAGCAGCATCTCCCAGACCACCTCCCACAGGGTGCAAGCCATGAATAAATCATGGGGGTCAAAAGCAAGGCTGCTAGGGAGATAAAGGCCCAGGCTCAGCACTGTTAGTGGCAGAAAGAGGCTGTAAAGACAGCAGCCATGAGGTCCATCCTAGCTGCCCCCAGCGGAGACCCAATGAGCTCCATACCTACAAACAGGACGAGGCAGGGGCCCTCATTGAGCTGTACGGCATTGGAGTCGGAGAGTTCCAGCACAGGCTTCGGGTGCCACGGGAACTCCCTGCATTCTTCATCATTGAGCACCTCCACCCGTCCTTGCCGCGTGATCACCTCCCCCTGTGGGTCCAGCACGATGAGCGTGGGGATCCCTGCAAGAGACAGAGCATTCACTTAGCCACCAGCCTGGGAGAAGCTGATCAGGGGACATACACAGACTCACCATTAAGAATCCAGGCCTGGAACTGGAAAGCCCCGGACTGAATCCAGGCTCAGCCACTGAATAGCTACAGAACTACCTTGTGTCTGTATGGGACCTCTCTGTAGAACCCTGAGCAAGTCACTTCACTGTTTTGGGCCTGAATGTCTTCAGCTGCAATGTGATGAAGGTGTCTGTCATTCCCACCTTTCCCACTCTGTGGTGAGCAATGAGCGCTGAGCACATGGGCTGGGGGTGGAGCTCAGCACTTGCCTAGCATGTGTGTTCCATCCCCCATACTGGAAAAAAAAAAAAAAAGAGAGCTCAGGATCTTGGCCCAACAAAGCAGTGATCTCTGGTGGTGTCACAGGGAGATCCCAGATACAGACGATGTCCCCATCTGCAAGGAGTTTAAACCTATCACAGTGGGCCACAACATACACAGACACTCCCACACTGCGTACTTGCTATAGACACACATACCGCATAGGCAACACATGCAAGCAGAGTCCTCAGAGTCCTGGGACAGGCACAAGGCGCACCACAATGAGCATGCAGGCAGGGGAGGGGCCTAGGGCAGGGCTGTGGCAACAGGAGTGGGGGAGGGGAGGAGACAGCTGGCCACTAGTGAGCAGCAGGTTGGTCTTGCCCTGAGCCCCAGCTTTTTAGCCAGGCTGCCTAGAGAGGCTCTAACTTCAAGAGGGGCAGTCCCCAGAGGGTATGGTACACGGGAGTCCAAGAAATACAGCAGAGCATGCCTGCAAACCACATGCACCCCAATCAGAAAGCCTCCAATGAAAAGCCCACCCTGGGCTTCATCTGGGCTTGCAACCTCCATACTCTTTGTATCTCACTCCCCATTGTTCCTTCTCTAGCCAGGGCTGCTCTCTACCAACCAGTCAGCCTCAGTCCTGCCCTTTGGGGACACTTGTCTCTCCACTGGCAGCCAGTCGCCTTCCTGCTAGAGCTATCTGGATGCCTCTCCTCTGGAGCAGACCAGAGCTTGAATTTTATATGAAAGCCAGAGTAATTTAATATTTATAGATTCCAAAGTATTCAGTCAGTAATTTGCTCCACTGACATTTTACTTCTCCATGGGGGGTGGGGGGAGGAACACCAAGGTACCAGAAATGTGGCCTTGGTACTTTGTAACCTGCCAGCAGGCATGTGGTGGTGGGCCTGTCTTCAAAAAGAATAAATGACTCCATTATGTTCACAGCTATTAGAAGAAGTGGCTGGACGTGTCAGGGAACAGGTCTCAAGAAACAGGCTCCTAAGGGCTGCCATTCCCGCCACATCACACACAGACACCTGCAGCCCACACTCCTCAGGAGCTTTTACGATGTGCTCACACTGAACAGGACTCTTGAGAAACTGTGTGTTGACAATGGGAGTCTGGGCGTTTCCACGTGGTCCTAAGGGCTGCCTATTCCCCCAGAGGCCTGAGAGCACATGGGGTGTGTCTCCATCCCTGGGGATCAAGGGCTGGACTTGAGTGGGTGGCCTGAATGGAGCCTGGGGCAGGAGACCACACGGGACCAGCCAAGGATAGAACTCTTTAATCAGAACTGGTGTTTCTGAGACTGGGCAATTATGAGCATTGGGGTAAACCAGAGCCTGCCCACTACTGTGGTTAGACTCAGCAGCAGGGTTGCTTGTAGCCTGGACTTGGGAGGCCGAGTTGGTCTGAGGAGGACAGGCAGGCACCGCACAGGAAAGGGAGACCGCCAGACAGCCCACTCCTGGGTCAGTGCCTGGGTATGGGGCCTTCTTTGGTACCATGGCTGCAACCTTCAAGATAATAATGCCTGTGGGGACCAGGACTGCAAAACATGGACACAGAACCTCCAGCTAGCTGCTGAGGACCCCCCCAGCTGATCCCACCAAGGAGTACTTCCTCTGGGCCTGGGTCTCTGCATCTCTTCCCCTCAGCATACAAAATCAAAATCCTCTCTTGTTTTTGGTGTCTTGAGCCCAAAGCCTATGTCTAAGGGTCCAAGACAGGTATACAGGGACAGTGTCAGGAGTATGACTGTGGTGCATAAATAGAAACTGACATTGTCAAATACCCACAGTCAGATCTGGACCCAGAGAAGCTCCCTGTTTGGAGCTGGTGCTTGGCTCCTTCCCTTCAGCTGACCTTGGGTTTGGGCCCTAGAAGTTGCTGTGTATCTGAGGGTTAGAGAAGGAGGTCTCATCTTTGTGGAGTGTCTACTCTATGCTGTACCACACAGAGGCTGTCTCACTTAATTGTCACAATAGGTAGCAGTGAGAAGCACCATTATCCTTGTCTGAGGGATGATCACATTGCCTGCCTAAAGTTACCCAGGCAGTTGGTAGTCAAGGTGGGATAGGCACTCTGGTTTGCCTGCTGCAACTGGCTGCTGCTTTCTGGCAGAGCACTGCCTTTGCAAGGACCCTCCTAGCACCTGGTTGGAGATTCGCTGAACCAGGGCGAGAGAGGGTCCCTACAGTAGCAGCTCCCTGCATTTGCCTCCCTACCTCTCCTGTTGGGTCATGTGGTCCCTGAAGCAGGTTCTTCAATGTTGAAGCTTCTTGAAAGAAAACAGGGGACAGCGGCAGGAAATTTACAGGCAACAACAAATTTCTAATCAACACCAGTAAACAAAACCTGCTCCCCACCCTCAAGGGGCTTCCTGCAGGGAATGAGAGGAGCAGCTCATCACTGTTTGGCTAGGACTTGCTGTCCCCCAGCTTGGATGGCTGGGATGGCTGGGGTCCAAGTCCAGCTGGGATGCTAAGGAAGGCCCAGGTAAGTCCTTAACTTCTTTTAGCCTCATCCTCATAGCTACCTAATGACAGTTTCCTATCTTATTTGGTATCAGGGCAGAATAAAGAAGATGTAAGTGTAAAAGTGTTTTTAGCAGAGTACTTGGTATATAGTAAGTGCTCTGTAAGTATTAGTATTATTACAAATCTATCCTTTTTTCTTTTTCTTTTTTTGCCCAGGTCCTCTCTAAACTGATGATGTAGCTCATAAGACAGAGAAACAGAGGACCAGGACCTTGTTCTAGTGAGAACAGAATCCTCAGGCTGAGCTGGAGGGCGTGAGTTAAAGAATAGAAGAGAGACAATGCAGAGGCTGCCAAGCATGGGGCTGGTGCTCTCTCACTCTCTCGCTTGCACACGCACTCTCACTTTCTCTCAATCCTCCCCTCCCCCCCCACTCCCCACCCCACCCTACCCCAGCCAGGATTGAACTCCGAGCCTCTGGCTTGCTAGGCAAGTACTCTCCCACCTAAGCCATACTCTCAGCCCTTTTGTTTTTACTTTGTTTTCCAGATAGGGTTTCACATTAGCTTTGCCTGGACTGGCTTTGTACTGAAATCTTCCTACCTCATCTCCTGAGTTGCTGCAACCACAGGAGTGTACCACCATCCCTGCCTTTTTTTTGGTGGGGGGGCATGGTTTGAACTTGGGGTTTCACTCTTGCAAAGCAAGTGCTCTAAGACTTGAGTCACACCTCCAGTGTGTTTTGCTCTAGTTACTTTGGAGATGGGGGGTCTCACAAACTATTTGTTTGGGCTGGCCTCAAACCAGGATCCTTCTGATCTCAGCCTCCCAAGTAGTTAGGATTACAAGTGTGAGCCACCAGTGCCCGACTCCTGCCTTATTTTTGAGATAGGGTCTCAATAACTCTGCCTAGGGTGGCTGTGAACCAAAATCCTCCTGTCACCATCTCCTGAGCAGTTGGGATTACAGGTGTGCATCACCAACTGTACTCTTTTACCAAGCTTCACTTTTGGGCTTACATCATGTATCCTATGTTCCCAGAGAGAGCTCAGCCCCAAATCCCCAGCTCTGAAGAGCTGGGCTGGAGCTTGAGCAGTATCTAAGAATCCCCAACTACAATTTCCCTCCAAAGTACAGAGGATTAAAAATGAGGTCTGTGAAGCCAGCTGCAAACTCCTTCCTCCTGGGAGAACCTATTTATGAGTATTTAGAACAATTTCAACATCATGCATACTGAAACTGTCCCACAGTTTTAATTTGGTTCTTTCTCTAATGCTAAGGAAATAGGATTTTGTGGTGGTGGAAGTTAGAGGTGGATGGCTAGGGCAAAGAAGCTGAAATTGTCCAGGATCCCAGAGAGAGGAGGAAGAAACTGGGAAAGGGTTGTGTTCAGCTTTTTGGATAGCACCCTGATATGAACAGGCTGGGAATAATTCCCCAAAGATCACTAGGAGTTGGAAGAAGAAAATGGAGGAAAAGCAGATCCTGGGACAGTCGTACAATGAAACACTTCCTAGCACTGAAAATAAATGAACTAGATAAAAATATCAACAAGGGTAAATCTTGAAAACATAACGATAAATGAGAAAAGTTACAAAATGGTATTGCAGCACGCTAGCATTTTAAGTATGCTTCTAAAAAACACACTGAGCAAAACTATATATTATTCATGGATTCCTATATATGCAGGAGAATGTGGAAATAGCTTATGAAGTTACACATTAAATGTATGGCAGTTCCCCTAGGGGAGAAGGAAGAGGGCAGGAGAGGAGCAGCCCCTCACCTCTGTCTTGATGCTTCCATTCATTTATATTTTTCTTTGTTTCATTTTTTTCAGGTGCTTGGGGTTGAACACAGGGTCTAATACCCATGTGATTATAGTTTAAACATCTGAGCAAAAATGTCCATTCTGACTGGCAGCTGTATGGGTACTTATTACATTATTCTGTTATTTCCTGTTTGTTTTTTTTTTTAATGTTCTCACAATTAAACATGACACACAAAGGAGAAGAGCAAGGCTGCTTGGCCTGGGAAACCAAGCTGCTCCCACCCTGCTCTTGCAGTGCCGCACAGCCCTTTGAATACCGAGATTTGTCTACAAAACCCACAATGGGCCACTTGCCCTCTACCAATTGAAAACTGTAACCTTCAAATGAGGCACTTTCATATCTACAGACTCTGATTCAAACTCATTTTTTA